TAAAGAAGAAGAGAATTTTGTTTACGTATGGCACGGCGACGAACAGCGTTTGAGGACTATCAACTTAAAACTAAAGAGGATAAACAGAGGCACAGAGGGATTATTTGAAAGGATTAAGAGGGTTCGGGTCGAGGTTTAGCGCGCACCTTCGCGACAAGTACCTCGAGCGCGAAATTTGCAAGAACCGGCGGGATCTTCTCCTTCAGCGACGACCGCAGTTGCCCGGTCGCCGTTGGAATCCGCTGTGCGCAGAAAACAATTTACTTTGAAGGCCGCAAACTCCATTACCACAGGCAGAACGTGCTCAAAGTAATGACTTTCTCTAGCTCGCTCCGCTGTCGCAGCGGCGCGGCGCGCGATTGCATCACCAAATCATTTCAACCTGACTCTTTTCTCGGTCGCGGGAGGAACCCGTCATCGTTGCACCGCTGCAAAGGTTATGTTACAAGCTCAGTGGGTCACCGAAGACGAAACCGCTTGCCATCGCGCGGAAAACCGCCGATTTTGATTTCGAGTTTATCGCCTTCTCGATCTTCCTCTCGTCACGTAAGCTCGCCATGCGACAATGAGACTTTGATCTGGTATAAAAAAAAAACCTAGTTATTTCAGATATTCTTTTATTGTTTCATTGTTCTTAAATTCGGGGTATGGAAGTGTATATAAAGGAAACGGTATTTCCGTAATCATAAGCTGCTACGGAATGATGGATATCGTCGGTGGACAAATGGTCCACTTCCGGCGCGACGATAAACCGGTATTCGGCAATAAGTACTGTAATGTGCAATTTCGTATTCGAATAAGTCACTAAAATTATACAGATTAAAATCAACAGACGATTGTTATTTTAGATTTAACAGATTAGCTAACGAAAATATTGGCATTTGAACGACAATACGTGACGACTGATCGACAAATAGAACACAATGATCTTCTAACATGTCGATTAAAAATTTAGATTTAACGATAATTGTGTTGCATCGAAGGTAAAAAGTAGAAATCACAGCGATTGATCGGATGCAAGCGTTTCCGTTTGACGAGTACGAAAGCGATTGGCCCGACAAAACTTTGAACGCGAACAAGAAGCAGCCGATAGCTTTTGCTAGGAGGCTGTGTGCGCGTGTTGTGCCGTTTATTTATGCCGACCATTTTGCGGCGACGTGCCACCATCTTGTTTTTACGACCACCCCACGGGGCATACCGTGGTCTTCTGCGGCGAACAACCTTCTCGCGGTACTCGTACTTGGCGAGATAAATCTTTAAACTGATAATGCTCGGATCATAATAAGAAATAAAAATAGTGTCTAAATTTCGATAGCAATAACGAAGGTGCTGAATATTTGTTTAAATTAAACTGTTTTTCAATCATCACAAAGAGAAAAATGAATTACGTGTGTTAAATAGACTACTAAAAGACATTTTTTTAAATTTGAACATGAAGAACAGATTGTGCAAATTATTACATCGATGAAAATTACTCAATTAATACTAAAATGTATAAAGAAACATTTTTATTTTTATTTTAATAATTTTGAAAAATGAAAACATCATCTTATTTAAGAATCCAGCGTTTCCTAATATAGAATGGAAATTATTTTTTGGAAGCAATATTCCAAAATTTGAAGTGATAAAGTAATTTTGTTTCGTAGAATTTTATTTCTAAATAATAAAGTGCAAAATCACTGTCTATTGGAACATTTTATTTCATTATTCGGCTATTTTAAGATTTCTCTTTTAGAAATATAGAAATTTTCCTCGGCGACAGTGATCTCTAACGTTCGAAAACAGTCGACAAAGTTAAACGCTTTGACCGCAAAGATTCGCCGGTGAAGTATCCCGACCGAAATTGCGCGGTAACGCGGCCGCTCCGCGATGCCGGAGTCGCTTTAACCGTCCGACAAATCGCGACGACCGAACTGTCGTTAAACACGCTAACGATACTAACGACGGCAACCGGGCGGCCACCCCGTGCGACGATATCGTTGAACACGAAAGCGCGGTCGAGCACGAACCAATTTCATATAAACGGACGTAACAAAGTAAAGATAAACGCTTCTTGAGAAACTATTTCAAACGATAAACGATAAATTTTATCAACTCTTCGGTGGATATGAAATATATTTGACTTTTTCGAATACTGTTGCGAGCCCGCAGCCTGCGCCTACGTTTAAACGTCACGATCGAAAACAAGCGGCGCCTTAAATGCAGTTAATTAACCGAGATCGAGAGTGTTATCGTCAAACGCTGAGTTATGGCCGGCAAGCGGAGTCTAATTGGTTTTACGAAACGATCGCCTTCTCTCTTTCGCGATAGCGGAAGCTATCCGGTTATACTGCGGTCGTCTTCTTCCATCGCCACAACAAACACCAATTAATTCTTTATTATCGATCGTGTGCGTTATTCGGATAATAAACATCGTTACTCGTTGAAACCGCAATGATTCGTCAGAGTGTCTCTGATGAGAAAATACAAATACAGAGATACGTATTTAGCGTTAAATGTGGAATACGAATAGCGGTCGAAGAAATCGCTATGCGGTGATTGCGAGGATCAATAATATAACAGACAGCGATTTGTTGTTTGCCATTTGTTATCATCAATATATGTAATACGTTGTTTATTAATGTTTGCTTCGATACAAGTAAAAGACGGACAGCTCGTGTCCCGCTATTTCTTCCGTTCGTGGACATCTGTGTCTTTTTTTTGAGTAAGAATATAATGGTCGGTGAGCGCCTATTTGCGTCACAAGCGACTCGTGTCACGTGAAACGTTTCCATCATCTCGTCTGCTCTATGAGAGTTTCGTCGGAGCTTCGCGGGATCCTTGTATCGCGCATGTGTCTGACCATTCCGCGAAGGCAGGTAATTATGAGTGGATTACAAGAGAGAGAGACGGAGAGAAGCCGCGTCGGCGCGGCCGCTAGACCGGTGAGTGCGCCGCGATAATATAACGAAGTATAATAACTACTAGCGCGATTATCGTCCTAATAAGCGCAAGCGGTGACGCAAGAAAGCCTCTCTCGCGCGCGCGGAATAAGAATGTGAGAGGCCAATGCGGTGCCGAAGCTCAGCCGAGTGCGAATTACGCGATTGGCCGCGAGGACCAAACAGGGGAGTCGGTGAAATATGGTGCGAGCGAGCGAGCGAGCGAGCGGTTTGCCCTTTCACGATGCTCGTTGTATTCGCAGCAATTACGCGCCATTCGACGCCGACTGCGGACATTGCGCAAAGGCAATGTTGTGAGAAATCAATCGGGAATATTCGTGCGGTCTCGAATCATTCATCAATTGTAGTTATTACATATCGTGTGCATGCGTATGTATGCACCGGCCATAATCGCGGCCTCGCTGATTATACGGCGCGTAAATCATGCATTTCTCGTAAATCACGAGAAATCAAGCGAGAATTGAACGGACAACTAATGAATCCAATTATGAGGGTTTTTTTCCCCCCCATTTTTTTCCTTCATTTACATAATTCGCGGTGTTATTGGAAGAATCATTAAAGTCACTTATATATAGATAGTTAATTATTTTAGGCGCAAGGTATTGCGGTTCATTTGATACACATTTTGACGTTCGCGGATCGATAAGGAATCGCAAATGAACGCGTAATGAGATTATTATTTGGATCGCTCGCGATTACCGCGCGATGGCATCTATTTCTGGGACGAGGAGCCGGCGATAAAGGACGGGCGTAAACGGGAGGGAGGGGAGGTGAGGTCGGGGGGAAAAAGGGGGTGCATAATGGGATAATGTTCGCTCGATGGCCCTTTTACCCTTTAACGATGATTCCTCGGTTCCCAGCAAATTGTACGGAAGAGGGATTCGGCCGACAGTCGACGAGACGAAGAGAGATGTATTTCGAATAGAAATTTAACGGATCTTTTCTTTCACGCTGCTGTTGCGTCGATAAAAAAAAAAGAACATATCTCGATAGAATATAGTTTCAACATTCATTCGTGTATTCGTATAAATATCGCTTAAACGCACGCGATCCTTCGATCGAGTTCGTGCGAGAGAGGCGTAATGAGAGGGTCACCGGAGCGTATTACTCGTGTTATTTAGCAGTAAATCAAACTTGGAAAAATGTAGACCGTTATTGTACACTGCAAAATCTCTCAGTTCCTCGTCTCGAAAATTGCACGGAAAGAACGCTGGCTGTCGGTCTTGCGAGCGAAACTCGCGGGCTTGTTAGGACGAACGTGATTTCGCGTTATTAATTCTTTAATTAATTCGGCCAACAGCTTGCAAAGCTAATCGAAGAATAATCACCGAAGCGCAATCGCTGAATTCAGACTTAGCGTCGAATTCCCTTCGGATTAGCGCGTTTTAATCCATTAGCGAGACCGTCGCGGACGTCGAGGGTGGCGATTCACTCTCGCGATTCCCGATACACAGGTATCTAACGGCCAGTCCTCCGTCGCTTCTTTATTGGTCTCGTGAAATTGGTAATATCGCGCACTTACTCATTACATATGCAAATCCGCGGTGCTTAAAGCGTGCTGCGTCTGTTATTCGCGCGCTATTACTACAAGAGAGATAAGAGCTTAATGAGTCCGATAGCTGCCTATCGGACGTAATAGAAGGCGGAACGAACGGATATTGAACGCGAAACCGGAGTGATGTTCAATGGATATAAATTACATGCAAATTACGATATCTCGTCCGTCAAAAACTTTGTCCGTCTGCCGAGCTGTCGATTATATTATTAACATTATAACGATTCCGATATATGAATAATAAATGCCGTCTTATCTTTATTTGACAAGCGATTCGAGTGTAAAGTTATTTCAAATAAATTTCTCTTAGCACATACAATGTCCTGCCATTACGTATCTCCTCAGCGACGATTTCTTTAAAGATAATCGCGACAGGCTATTCAATTTAAGTGCTTCTCTTCTGAAATGCATAAGGGACACGCGCTGACGTAATAGCGACAGAATGTCGCCAGCAGTGTCACCGAAATGTTCGCTTATCAAGTGCTCTTTTTTTCTGAACGCAGTGGCCGGCGCGTTTCCGAGGCGGATCGGCCATCCCTATCAGAACCGAACGCCGCCGAAGAGGAAGAAACCGAGGACGAGCTTCACGAGATTGCAAATCGCCGAGCTGGAAAAGCGCTTTCACAAGCAGAAATACCTGGCGTCCGCCGAGCGCGCGGCGTTGGCGAAGTCGCTGAAGATGACGGACGCGCAGGTGAAGACCTGGTTTCAAAACAGGCGGACGAAATGGAGGTGAGTTCGCGATATTTTATAATGAAACAATCTCGCAAAAAAAAAAAAAAAGAGAAAACCGCGCCGTCTTCCCGTGACGTTTATTAGCATTCGCGTCGATGTTTATACGCGGCGATTTGTTGAGACTCGTTGTTTCGGGCGACGAATGAATTTTCGTTTGAGAGAGAAAACGGAGAACCGAGCTCGGAATGTTAATAGCGCGTTAGTTGCGGTCTGACACGTATATCTGTAAACGCATTGGCAGTCAAATGTATTGGAGTCTCTTCAAGATAAGGAAGGACGAAAACACGTCATTTAGATAAAAACGAGAGGGGGGACGGCCCGATCCGCAGCGCAGGTTAGCCCGATACCGGGCCCGTCTCGGCGGCGAGACGGCGGGGTCCTGGCGACATTCTCGAGAGGAATCCTCGTATATACCCTCGCACTCTGCCCGTCCCTCGACCTCGCGTCAGAATTTCTAAAATCGTCGCGCTGTGAAGTCCTTGGCATCGCTTCGTTCTACGAAGCGTGATAAAGAGGTGAACTTAAGCGGAGAAATTTTCGACGACGATATTAGTTCCCAAACGAGCTGCTCGATCGTGGACCTTTTCAAAGTTTATTCCATCCTTCGGATTCCCCCGCCTTTCTGCTTTCGTATTTGCTGTATTAATATTGCATGGTCTATCGACGATTAAAATCGATTAATATTTTCAGTCCGTCTTTCCAAACTACTACTCGTCGCGACAATACTGGCGTAAATAGCGTTCGTTAAAATTAAGAAGTCTTTGTTCTTCGGTCTTTTTTTTTAGACATCGACGTCCTGGCGACAATTTAGACATCGACGAAAGGACAATTTCGGTGAGTTTAATTTTTAATGTTATAATTGCCGGAGAAGGCTACCTTCGTCGATGTTTTCTAAAAAAAAAATACGAGAGAGAAAATCAGAGATTCCTTTAATTTTAATAAACGCTATCGCCAGTATTGGCACGACGTGGTGTTATGTTTAAAACGCTCAGGATGGAAATATGAACATTTCTAATTTTGCTTGTGATAATTTTGACAATATCTCGCAGACTGAGTTACAGGTATTATTCAATTCTGTGATCAGTTTGGATGTCAAAGCGATTTAAAAATGACACATACAATTTACAGATCGTAGCTTAAAATGTGCATTAGAGATTGTGTATTCTGAATTACGGATTGCAATAGAAATAAATTTCTTCAATTTGCCATCGCTGTTTTTGAAATTTTAACGCCGCGAAATTGACATTTCGAAACAAAAAGCGCACGTTTTTCGGCTCGATTTCTATTCTCTCAGAGAGCAAACGGGAGTTCCGAACCTTATCTGTACGTATCTCGTATGCATATGAAGGCGACTGAGAAATTTTTTGTCGTCGCGAGAGAGAGAGAAGCGGGCGTGAAATTCAATTTGGAATCCGACGACACGCGTTATCCGTCTCGATGTACGCTCGGAAATGTTATCGCCGTGACAGGTACATTTGTCTAGAATGTTACGACGAGTTAACTTCACGCAGGAGTGACAAGTACATCATTTTTAATTAAAGACGCACGCACACGACAGGGTAATCATGCGCGGCGATCAATAACGCGTCACCGCGCACACACGACAGACTTTTCCTCTTCGACTCACGGCCGCTACGGAAATATAGAAAAATATAAACGTACGAAATGTTGGAATTCTTTTACTCTTACTATTGATAATTTTTTTATTCGAAGATTTTTGCAATTTTGTACAGTGCACCCTAAAATTTGCGAATGTCCTTTTAACAATAAATTTTCAGATCAATTTCTGAATAGACTTTTTCCAAGCAAAACTGTCAAGAGAAGATATTATTTATCTCATCCCCCAATTTTCAATGTTATATTTTTTTAATCTTTAAATTGAGATTCTATTAAAGTTCACCTAAAACTGAAGAATTTTTTTCTTATTTATATGCAAAGTCTTTCTTTTTTAATCGCTTACGAATTCGAAAACCATCGACTGACATTTTCACTCAAGAAATATCGACTTTAAATTGATCAGAGAATCCATCCAGTAAAAGAACACTCTGCGTAAGACGCTCGCGAGAGAGAAGACGAGAAAATCGCAGGGATTCAAAGAGAATGCGTTTTTCGACGGAGTGCGTACAAGCGCGCCGTAACGAGCCTAGCGCGACGCGGCGCGATGCGTCCAGTGTGTGCAGCTGCGTTTAAAGTAACGAGATGACTGTAGGCAGAGATGAGATAACTCGGTCTCAATAATTCAGGCACCTAACAGCTTAGCCCTGTCCCGTACATAATGTAGTCTCTTCCCTACCACCCGCGCGCACCTTCCCCCCCGGATTCTCCGCCGGTCGTCCCCCGGCCGCCCCTCCGGCTTTGACTGCCAATCCTCCGCGCGCGCCCCCGTCACCTCTTTCAGCCCCTTTCAGCCTCCGCGCGAGACGCGGGAGAGAGCTCCTTGGCTTTTAAACTGTCAAACGCTCGAATCCGTTGGCTGAATCGTTTCGATCTCCGCCACCGCCGGGCCGCCGCACCGACCCCACCGATTCGCCTCGTTAAACATTCATCGGTTACAGTGTAGGACCAGGCCGGTAACCGTTCGAACACGCATTCGCAGGGTGCGACGATACACCGCGCGCGCAATACAGCGAGGTGGTGTAAGAAAAATCAATCGGCATTAGGCATGCGACTCGCGATTTGCAAATAGTTAGAGTTTCATCGACGACTTCTGTTCCGCTCCTTGTCGAACTCGATGTTTTTATTCGCGTTTTAGAGCCACAGCTGCGTCGAAACGGCGGGGGGGGGGGAATAGTAGTAGGAAGATACAGCGCGGTCTGCGACAATTTTAACTGTTAATAAAATATAAATAATGATAAATCACAGAGATATACAACGGGCTAATTGCAGAGAAAGAACCGTGAAAGCGTGCTCTCTATCCGCGAGGCGAGCTGTATATCGGGGCCTGAGCGTACGCTAAAGTATAAAGATAAGAGTAATGTGTCCCAGGTTGCGAGAGAGGATATGGTTATGCCGGCCGCAGCGAGGATGGGGCGAGGCTGGCTGCGTCGGGGCTGCAAAATGTAATCGGCACGGTGTCGTCAATTATTAATCGCTAACCGCGTTAATTACTTGCAGAGGCGTAGGTGCACCTGTCACTGCCGCAATGGCGTAGCCGCAATGGATTCGGGCTGGAGATGGGCGCGGATGAGCGAGATTCAATTGCCCCTGGCGGCTAATAAAAGCGACAAGCGCTAAATCTTGCTCGTTTTTACTCCGGACGTTCTGCTTTTTCACGACAGCGCGATAAACGCGTTTAACGTAATTTCATTAATAATAGAACTAGTTCGCATCGACCGTGACACATTACAAATGTCAACGCGCTGTAATTAAAATATATAAAGCCGAAGCGCGAGTATTATGTGGCGAGCTAAAAAACGAGAGAGAGACCTGCGAAAATACAATATATATATTTGTATAAAAATTTATTTTTCGTCTTTTATCGAAAAAGTGAAAAATTGAAAGGCAGATTTTACGAATTGCGCAGCTTGTAATTCTATTTTGCAGAAATACATATTGCTCTTCAATCACGAGTTTATTAATTACGCGTCTTAAATGATATAATAAATGAAATGACGTTTGTATTAGATTCTCAGGAGTTAAAATTTGTTTTTTTCAGTATGTGTAAGTGTTACGTGAGTTTGTGAAACGCTGCGCTTTTCACTTAGCAGCCAAGCAATTCGTTAAGATCGATTCGAACGATAACGAACGAGAATTTTACAATGTCGAAGTAGGTCGAGGCTCGAGAAAGAACCTCCGCGGCGACTTTTGGGAATCGGAAAGTATATTTCAAAGGCGAGTGTAATCGTCGACGTCGGTACCGGGTAGCTCGTTTACACGGGTATCGGGCGAAGAAAATTACAGGAAGTTGTCGAGTCCGGTGTGTGTGTGTGTGTGTGTGTGTGTGTTGCTCAACTCGCCGGACCCGAAAAAGACGGGACAAAAAGGAGGGTCAACGAGATAGTACCTGCGCCGCGATACCGTCGCGGCGTAATTCGTGAGGACACGAGGCGCCCGCGCCACCGGTCTTTAGAAGGTCCACGGACATTATACGGCCGAAGGAGGAACCAGTTTTAGGAAATTATAACGATCGCCGCGTAGGAGAACATCGGAATCAACTTCGGACCGGCTTTGCCGCGCACGCTCCGGCTTCGTCCTGTCACGCGGAGGTTTGTCGGCGAGGCGAAACCTGCGTCCAGAGCGAAGGGAGCACTCGCGGAATAGGCGATCGAAATGCGTTGCGAAATATGTTTTATAACAAACGGCGATGCACCGAGGAAGAAGGTTCGTTGTTCGCCACCGCTGGGCGGTCGTGCGCGCAAGCTCTATCGACCTCACCGACGGGTCGGCCATTTTGCGGCACCCTAATAGACTTAGCGCTAGAAAACAGACATCGCCCGAGCCACCCTGCGGCAAGGTGGTTCCTCCGCTTGCCGCCATAGTGACGAATCGAATTAACTTTATTACATCCGTCTTCTGTTTTCCGCCCAACGACCACCACTCTATTTTCGCCGTCCTTTACTCCGCCTCGTTTCCTCTCCGTACCTGTTCCGTACGGAATCGTCCTTATCTCGATCCCTGACGCGCACTTGTGCGCTTACTGATGGATTTTAGCTATATATAAATTATTTCCAACACAATTTCCTTGACGAACTACGCTCTTACTCGTTTAACCGTGCAAAAGAATTCAAGAATTGACGATACATTAAGCATTTTAGATTAGGAAGTTTAAGGTTTTTTCTTCTGCGAGAAGCGATTTTCGACAATAACCTAGAAATAATTCCGAAATAACGATTCTGTTGCAGGAGACAAACGGCGGAGGAAAGGGAGGCCGAGAGGCAGGCCGCGAATCGGCTGATGCTGTCGCTGCAGGCCGAGGCCCTCGGCAAGGTGGCATATCCGACGACGGTGTCCGGGCATCCGGGTGGCGCGTCAGTGTCGAGTTTGGATAGGCAACCGGCATCGGCGACCGCGCTAACCCATCCGGTGGGCCAGTGGGCCTCCCCTTACGGCCCGCCGCAGCCCCTCGCCGAGCCGATTTGCTGAAGCGCGACGACGATACGAGAGATTCCCGCCGAGTGAATCCGCGCGTTCTCGTGTTCTTTCTCGCGTTGGAAATCGGAACAAAGCCGGAGGACGAATCGGACATTAAAGCGACTCGCTCGTTCGCCACAATTTCAATCTACATTTCCGTTTTTTCCTTTTCATTATTAATTTACGCTTTATGCGAACGAAAGAATACTCACTCACCGACCGATCATAAGATAACATAGCAGAGATTTTTCTTTTCTTTTTCTAGAATAGTTATATGAACTGTAGGCTATACTAGCATCGCCTTCCTTCTGCCTTACGATATTCAGGCGACCATCACGAACATGAAACACGTCCTAAAAGAGCACCGCGAAATCGATTGTACATTGCCTTACACAGCACGTATTCGGAGCTGTCACCATTTATTAGCCACGGCTCGTAAGATTTTTGCCATATAATTGTTACGGTTTAAACAGTTAATCAGCGCGGCCGATATCGCGCGTGGACCGATAATCGTGAATTTGTCATGTACGAACAATCGGGACGCATTTAACAGCGTCCGTTTACCCGCGCGAAGTGACGATCATCGCAATTAGCTCCACGATTGACGCGACACATTATCGACACATTATACGTCTTGGAATTCGATGAAATAGCGTTTCGGAGATGAAACGCCTCTCCGAAACGTTATTTCCAGATCGCATTAAACGTACCGGACGTTCGATAATGTCCTGACCTATTCGATCCTTTCCGAAAGAGAAGTTTTCCGCATCGTGCATCGTCGAGAAGTACATCATCGATTGCGAAAGTGAGAACTAAGATCCGTATTTACATCTTTATTTAGCATCGCGTTTGGCGCATTAAATCCGACCTGCTAATTCTGATTTTTATCGTAAAATGCATCAGCAAATTATCGCGATATTGTTGATAATTGGAATTCCTGAATTATATTACAAGTCAATAAAAATTATGATTTTTGATAAATTTAGGAATCATCTTCGTGCTTAACATGTTTTAGTCCACCTTTAAATTTTTAATAGAAAAAATATCCATCTCTTATTGGCCTATAATATATTTAAACAATTGAATACTAGTTTTTCTTTTCCATTCCATTCAAATCATCTATTTACCGAATGAAAATGTTTTCCTGGTTAAATGTGAATACTAAATCCAAGACGGAACAGTTGACGTGACATATCTACGTGTAAATACTAGGCGCTATAGTTGTAATTAGGCATCATACTTGTACGATACGAAATACTTGTATACGCAAAAGCGCTGTCGTGCCAACGTACCGACGGCGTACGTTCTCTCTTTCATTGTTAGATACGTCCTGTATATAATACTTCGTGCGCGCTGCAACGCGGCGAGATGCAATCAAGATTATATTATATCACGAAATATTATTATATATATATATGCTACCACCACACATACACACATACACACACATCCTACGATCGTCGTCGTCGTCGAAGTATGATTAGGTATATTTTAAATTAAGTTCAGTCGTAATTATTATTATAGCGAACGATGTGATGTTATGTAAGTACATGTAACGTTGTATATACGAGAAAAAAATTGAAATGCATATAAAATGATTTAACTGCTACACATACCTCGGTATCTTTAACTGTAACATCCTTGTGTGAAAGAACGACTCCGCCGACGGTTCGCGTGGGAAGAGCCATGGAATTACGCCGATTACGGCAGGAACAATTAGTCGTAATTTCAGCATTAACTTAATAAGCAGCGATCCATTTTTTGATATACGGATAATTGTCGATCTTAATGATTTCTTTACATCCCGAGGTTGGCCGTGTCGACACTAATGAACGTTTCATTTGAAGCGAAACGATTGTCACAAAAGTTTCCGTAAAAATATAAGAATTCGACGCGACGCGGAATAATATAGATTAATAATTGAATGAACATTGCGAGGAAGCGACGCCTTCTCGTTATTTTATAGCTCGCTTTCTTTGCGGAGAAAAATTCTGTCATATCTTTGATTATTAAAAATATCTCTCTTCTTTTCGACATGGAAAACTTAGGGAGAACGAAATTACAAAGAAACAAATATCGTGATTAATAAAATTTTTTCCTCACAGTTACGATTTTTCGAGATTTCAATTATATTAAATTTTTTTAAATAATACCATATGATCTTTTAATGTAAATTGAGTTTTTTAATTATTCAGACGGAATCATCAAAGATTCAATACGAAATATTCTATATTTTACTCTGACATAGTCGGACATAAAATATGAAATACATCGTGAGATATTTACTCTTCGATATCTTCATCTTAATACATTTATGCAGAGAAAAATGATTGAGGTCCGCTTGATGATTTTCGCACAGGTGCAGCCGCGCACCTGGAACGTGTAGTTGTGTACTTTTGACGTTATTATTTTCCCTTATATCAATCGGCTCATCTCATTATTTTGTGCAATGTCATTTGCGCGCGTGCAATTTGCAGCAAATACGCGGAACGAGATACAACGTTTCATTTCTTCCGATGAGATCGGTATATCGGGGCCTGTGTAAATTGCTCCATTTAAGGAATACGAAGAAAGCAAGACGATGGGTTATCGTAACGAGAACTCATTACTTTGTGTCAGTACACCGTGTAATGCCCATCTATCATCTTCGGAAGCTTGATTTCCGTTATTTTTGCTCTCAAACGACTACCTTGTCACACGATTGCGGCGTTTTGATTCTTTACATCCGCGATACAAAACAACTACCAGTCAGTTTTCCGTTTTCTCTCTCTCTCTCTCTCTCTTTCTCTTTTTTTTTCTCTCTCTCACACCTCTTTCCCCTAACAACGTTCATCAAAGGACGCGGGTCCTTTTTCTCTCCGATCGCCTTAATCGGTGTCTTTCCTCGTGAAATTATCCCGCTTCACCTAGGCGAGCTCCCTGTACCGGATGTGGCTGCGTTTACTGCCTATAATTGCAGAGGAGATGCGGCGCGCCGTCCCACCCAATTATTTGGGGACAAATACCCGCGCCGCCACAGGAACGAAAAGGTCCCGAATACGTCGCGCAGGCACATCTCCGTGAATCGCCGAGGTATCCACGCGATACGCAACACTCACGTCTTGTCAGAGTGAATGAGTTTGAGAAATATTTTCGGATGATTAATGTGAATTAATGTGAATAATGGAAATGTCTCCGAGATAACATTGTTAAGTTTCTCCAATTTTTGTTCTCCGTTTTTCATTTTAATAATACACCGTAATTTAAGAAATAATAACAACACATTAAAACTAATTTTATCACTTTATGTGCCGATAAAATACACAGAATTATTTGAATTCAATTACTCAGCGATGACCAATTCACTGCTGACTTAGCTATTCTGTCTGGAGACAGATCGTACATACTTTTGAAAGAGCCACAGATTAAGTCTACAGATAAAGTGTATATTTCTAAAAGAGCGCATTCTTGATACGGAAGTATCTTAAACGTTTCCGCTGGTTAACACAGAAAGCTGAGTGTGAGCGAACCGTTCTCGACAGGTACCGAAAATCTACACCGACCGAATGGCGCATCATCGGCGCCCTGTAATCTCGGAATGAGGACCTTCCTGCGGTATATCTCTAGTTTTTAACGTACAATGCCGCGCCGGTGACCAATTACGAAGATCCCCGAGTATCAAGACGTTTGAAGCGGCTCCCAGAATCGAAACGCTGCCCGACGAGTCGTTGACCGCGACTCTCTGGACGTCAAAAAAAAAATCAGGCAAATTAAAAACATCGTTCAAAGGCTTGGCAAATCCACTTTGGAAATGAATATGAATATGCGTTTGCGCCACGGACAATTCTCTAATGATGCGTGAAGCGCGATTTTCTCACGCACGACAGTGTAATTATGTTGGAAAAGCGCCCGGAGCGATTTCCACACCTCTCGGGAAATCTCCGTTCTAAAAATATACCTACACTTCTCTAAGCCTCGAATTAACTCTCGCGGGACAGCGGGACTCGAACGTCTTCATCGTTTAGGATTTCTTTAGGCTAACTAAGTGTACTCAGCCGCGTCGTCACGAATGGAACGTGTAAATAATACCGGCTTTTCGAGAAAATTGTAAGTCCTGAGCGGCCGGCGCGCCGATCACCGTGTAATCTCGCGAGTCACGCGCAAATCGACGCGGAATTATGCAAATTATTGATGTCGCTTTTACTGCCCATTGCCCTCTCCGACCGGATCGTATGCACACCCTGGAAATTAATCTACGCTCATGCACGCTCGGCACGCACACGCCACCACCCCTCGCGCGGCGCGGCGTTGCTCCGAGCGGTTGGCCGAGCGGAGGGATGGCACGAATTAAAAACTAATCCAATATTAGGTGCCCCCCTCCCCCCCCACTACTCTGCGCTTCTTCCTTCCGCGCACTTTAGCCGGCCTGATACGACGTTTAACAATTATCTCGCCGCGTCGCGCCTCCTTCGCCTCTCGAAGCACCCGCGCGCTCTTCCGCAGAGATGCTCGCGATACTTCGATACCGCTGGCGGTGAATGCGGAGAAACGCATAGGGAATTATTCATGCATCGCGGTTAATTAGGGACCAGGTTTACATTACGTTCATTAATTTCTTGGGAGTACGTAAAATCATCCGCTTTGTCGGGCTACCTGGATTTCCGCACAACCCGACGTGGGAACGTCGTTGTGTCTTGAGAGACCCGTTAATAACACGTCGATCTCTTCGTGTACAATCGCGATACGCGCGAATAAAATTTTCAATGAGATTCACTCGGCGGAGAACAGCGGTATAAAATGAGTCCATAGAGAATATAGAAGCGGTGTTAATAACGTCGTTCCGTTTGATCGCCATTTCTGAGCACTATATTGTATGGTACATCCGCGCGTTGCCACACATAAAGCACGCGTTTGCATGTTTGTGTGTGCACGGGTGTACGCGCACACACGCATGACACGCGGAGCGCGTTTATAAAATCATGAGCGGCGCGCTGCCATATTTACACGAGCGTAGAAAATTTATTGTGATTGCACTCCGCGCGAGAGAGCGCGCGCGCGCCACGCTTTTTCCTTGCCACCGCATCGCCGAATGGCGGCTCAATTTCCGCGACGGCAGCAACGAGTCGCGCTTATGGAAATTGATAGTTTCGATGAAAAATAAATCCGCGAACGCGACGCGCCTATCCGGTGTTTCGAGATATTTTTCAGAATTATTGCGCGCGAGATAGCGACATTATAGGACTTTCGAATAATTCCAAAGAATTTCAACAACATTCATTTCAATCGTTACTCGATATTCAATGAATTTGACATTAGAAAACATTAAAAAATTTTCTAAAAAAAAATCGAAAAAAATACATGAAACAAGTACGTAAACAAAGATTCTTATTTAATAAAAGCGTGGTTTCGAGAAAGAAAAAAATACTGCCGGCGATCTTCCGGCGGAGAAAGTACTCCGATTTTGTTTCGGAGAACGGCGCAACAACACCTAGTTGGGTGGTATTTTGATCGGACGCGGGAGACCGATCAATTTTCGTGGCTGCTAAGTGCCTCGTGCGCGTTTCCTAAAACACAGTGTCGAAGCACCGTTCATTTCCTGCCCGTAAAACGGGTCCCCCCGCAACTATCTTGCGGGAGTAGTTTCTCTATTTCCGATCGTTTGCGGTTTCGCGGCGGCGGGAACAGTCGAGTCGTGTTAAAATCGAAACCGCTTTTTTTTCCAACAGACGACGCCAGACAGACTGTGATCACATCTATTCGTTCCCAGATTATCGACGACACCGAATCGTTAGGAGTAAATAAGGCCCGTGTTTACGAAGGTCGCCTGCTTAGCGGAAAAACGGGGAAGAAAGTACAGCACGATATTAATTAAAAAAAAAAATATTTAAGTACTTTTTAACACGTAGACATAATTTCATAATAAAGGAATAAATGTTATCGTTATCTTAAGAGTAAATTAATGCCTCCGCTCGGCGCTTGTGAGACAATACGGTAAACGTTAAACGTTAAACGTGTCTCCTCGCAGAGGGAAATGGGTGGAGGCGGCGGTACGAGCGAAAGTAATAAAAGCAGCGAGCGAGCGTGACGTGCCCGAGACGGAAATTGTACTTGTCAAACGCTTTTCCGTCGTTCCACGCTTTTTCGTTTTCAACTACGTGGCGCGGGAACTGCTGCTGCGCTCCCTTGTCGCGCGACAAACGACAGGCGACAGACGACAGCTCGAAAAAGGCGACAGCCGGGTTCCTGATCCGGTAGCGAGGCGCCCATTTAGGATGATTGCCCGATTTTATGTATTTATACCCGAGCGAGCCGTCGGGCCGCTTTTCACCGCGCCGACGTTTCTGTTTCTCCGCTGCTAATAGGAATTCGTTTCGCAGCTTGTATCTCTGCGGAAAGAGCGGCGTTAAACTTCGCAGACGGGCGTAATTCCGGAAATAATCCTCAATGGACTTTCGAGAAGAATGATACAACTATTATATAATTTTCGTGATGTGATTCCGTAACTTTGAATCGTCACACATTCCACAAGAATGACACTTTGATCTCTTATTGCATTATAATAGGCCTCGTTAATGTATTATCGATTTAGGACCTTTCTCATGTGGATTTTTTTATTACTCAAGCTATATTTAGATAATGCTGAGTTTTTTAACAAACAAACATGAATGTTAATTGAAAAGCATACTTTTCTCGATCCTATGTCGAAATGAACTAAATAATGACAATCGTCCGTATAATTTTTGAAATAGTTAAAGCGGCGCTGCTGATTTTTCAATTAACAAATTACGTTTTCTAAGTTTCATAAAATTTCTTATTATAGTCAGAATTAATTGCTACATTTGCGACATACTTCGACAACGTTAAGATAAGGCTTATTTATTAAAATTAATTCTAACCGCGAAGAATTTCTGGTTACTGTAATATTATTTTACTTTTAGAACCAAGCTTCGCTTTATTTCCATGCAAAATAGATATTATTTATATCTGGAATATTAAAATTTGCAAGGGACACAGGACTGTACATCATTCTTGTTACGACTCGTATATATTCAACGAGGTTCCATCAAGTTCTACATTATTTCTCGACAGGTTATATTTCGCGATCGTCGCTATTTATTTTATGAGACTGCAAAAGTTGTCGACCATCAGGCTTTATATTACTGCAACATGTATACAGATATATAATTTCGCGACGCATATTTATATCGCCACAATAATTTTACATTTTATTAGACCAGTAGAGCGGTGAATATTAAACATTTTTACTTTTTATAAACTGCCCTTAATTGATGTCCTCAGAAAGATACAGTTTATTCTGTCCAATTCTCGACAGCTCAAAGTTGTTGTCATGGAAAGCTCTTCGTTAGGAGATCAGACTCATCCGATCTGGCATCTTCAAAATTCGATGCAAAGTATTAGCAGGGACAAAAGAGGGGGGTACAATGGTTGTTCATCGGCCACTCCCGTGGGTATTAAGACGAGAAAATGGCTGAAGCCGAGCGGCACGTGCGGGTGTGTGCCACCCCGTGATGACTGACTTGTACGTCGTATTCGACAGAGACACCGGGTATACGCACGAACACGCGCGCGCACGCTCTCTCTCTCTCTCTCTATCTTTCTCTCTCGACGATATCGTCAGGACGTTTTAATATTTAATGCGATTAAACTCATTTCGTCCCGCCCGCCGTAATTGGTTTCTGATTAACAGCTAAGTTTAAGTGCATTAGCCGTGTGCAATAGTTACGTTAGAGCCCGACGTCGTCAACCAATAATCTTGAGTGCTACCGAGCACCTCGGAAATCGTCGTATCAACGCCCGACACTGGTCTCTTTAATTGAACACACCAATTATAAAGATGGCGATGAGCTATCCGTACAGTTCGTTCCGAACGCCTCGCGTTTCGTAAGGAAATACGGAGCGTAACGTGACGAAATATTTAACTGGCGTTTCCGAGCGAAACGCCCCAACGTGAATCGTTCGTCGCTTCCGAGCTTCAATCAAAAATTAATCTGTTATTCCGCTCAAACGATCCTTATCGCTAACATCTGATACTCGGGCTCGAGCATGAGCCCGCCGTATTGCAGCGGGAGATAAGTTGTCCGTAGGGATAATCCACGGACTCAGCGGGTGTCTCTATTCGGCACGGTTTCACTCCATCTTCCGTTGACAGACAAAATCCCCCGCGTGTCGAGTATCCGCCAACGACCGTCCGCGATCTATTCTATCGACCGACTGTCCAATTAAGAGAGCGAAACTTAATTAGCCGTCACGACCGAGCCCGGGTGAGAGCGACAAACCCGAAGAAACGCGCACGATAGCCGTATGAATTTAATTCCAACGCTTCCGATATCACGATTTATCGATCGTGTTCTCGGTGTTGACGATTTCCAGAGATACGAGCATCGAACATTGCGTGGATAAAATATAGCGATATTAATAAGGATATGATGTGGCGCTTTCTTGGCACATTCGTATTATAAAGGATATGAATTGTCATAATTTAGCGATGTTCGTTTATTTTGTTTTGATTAAATGCCTAAATTACATGTCGAGTACTTTCTTGCGACAATCATAATCAATGTGTGACGACCGTTCAGTAATTATCGTCATTCTGTCCCTTTTCCTGGCGCAGTTGAAGAATATAATTAACCTTCTGAGCGAGTTTTCTCAGTTTTTCCATGAAATCACTGCTGATCAACAGCGGCTGCGAAGAAGATATTAATATATTTATCAAAGTTCTCATCGTGTTAAAATTTGCAAGCAGCATTTGCGGAAGCCTTTAACATCGTTGAGACATTTAATTTCGTGTAGCGTTTACGATTTATACAAAATTCATCGCATTTTTTTTAGCGGATGCAAGCTATATATTGTGTATATTGCTTTAAAAAATTTACTTGCTCGTCGGCGTTCCCGTGCAACAGCATCTTCAATGTCTTGAATTCGCCGCTGGTGAAACGTTCGTTCCCCAGATTGGAGATTTCCGCCGTGTTCGGAAATTCGGATCGCTTGCCGTTGGTCCATCCGCGACTATATTGGAAGGTTTGGCACAGCACGGTACTTGTAACCAACGATAGAACGAAAAGGGCGAATATAGGTTTATTGGCCATCTGCAAAAGGGAAATACGGCGGCGATGCATGGCGAAAGTGTTTTCTTCGCAAATGCAGAAATGAAAATGAAAGAAATGAAAGACAGAAGGAGGACGATCAATATATAGCTTCCTTCTTCGAACATTCGCCGTATTAGTCCGTTAAATAATTGCGCAAGGACAAACGAGTCGGAACTTATTGGCAGCTTTCAAAGGCGACTAATGACTTTCAGACGTTAATTATCGCGAAGCAATCGTCGGTAACTCGCCATGAGTGACGCTCGAATAATTCGACGGATATTATTAAAACAGTCCTTCACTTTTACCGAACGGATTTCGTCGAGAGTAGCTTTAGAGTAGCTCGGCCGGATTATAGGCTATCCATTATTATCGAAGACAAGCGTGCGCTCGAGACGAAGCACAGCGACATCGCGATAATTGCAATTTTTTTAACATCGGCAGCTTCGCAGAAATCCGCTTGCGGCGTCATGAACTTCGGAATCTCATGCAATTGTAATCGAACCGTTTCGCTCGCGCAGCACGGAGGAAGAGGAAGTCTTCGCTCGTTTACAAGTGCAGAAGGAAAAACAATAGGCCACTTAACTGTCACGGTAGACTTGTCGAGGCAACGATCCGTACGAAGCCGTGCAATATAAAATTGCGCGATCACGAGTTTATGCTACAACCGCGCTGCGCGCTTTTTCTCATCGGGATATCATTTTTGATAGACCAATCGCCGGCGACGACGGTGATGCAAGCGTTGCAGCGAAATGATATCTGGAGTATTTTATACACCGCAGTTAATACTCTCTCTCTCTCTTTCTTTTCTCATTCACGTATTTTCAGATTACTTATGAGTGTTCGATAAAACGTTCATAAATATCTTTTCACTTACAATTAGCAGACACAATATATCCTTAAATTTAATTTTTGCTTTCCATTATTGTTTATTTCTAAAAAAAATAAAATAATTTATAAACTTTTACTAACTGCATGTTGAAGTGTTTAAACTTTGGTATTTATTAAAAAAAGAAAAAAAGAGCAACGCTGCATTACCGGTGCGTGTATAAAGCGACGACATTTTTCGAAAATTTTCAGCGCGCGCCCGATTTTGTTCCGCGTGCTAATTTTAAGAGGACCATTAACGCTACGAGCGTCCCTGGTCATTAAGATAAGCGTAAGTGCTACTAAGTGTCCGAGCGGATAAGAGACGTGACCAGCATCTCCGTTGCATAGAGATGAAGCGTTCCCATCCGAGCCCGCTGCAGGAACGCCGGCAAACACGCGGATGCATCGCGTTCACCAGTAATATTAACCGATGTTTAATTTGTAGCAAAATGAGGAGAGAAAGACTTGGATCAAAACAACTTGAAGAAATGCACGGTGTTGATTATCGATAAATTACTTTCCACATGCAAATTTAAATACCTATATTATTTTCTCGTTATCAGTAAGCAAGATTCATTATTAGATAAGAAATAAATCGCGGAGTTACTTGTTTTCGTAATTGATAGCGTCTGTTACTGTCTTGTTGCTCATCATAAAACGGCGGTTATTTCCTAAGATAAGAAAATTTGACATCGGATATTTATTAGTTCCAAGTTGAGATGCTATTAAAATAAAATTTGTTTATATCGACGAAATTCTAATGTACATTGAGAATTAATTGGTTTGACAAGATTACAATAGCGGAATAATTAGCGTTTTTTTAGCGCTGAGAGTTTTTTTGTCGAATGCGCATTAAAAGCACATACGTGTTTCACGGAACGAAATTAAAAAAAAAGTTGTTAGAGAAGCAATTTATTTCGTCGTGCACACCGCGTCGAAGGTGTATCGTGGATTTTCCATTTCACGCTGACGGGCAATTTGTCGTACGTTTCGTAATCCATTAGCTTCATAACTGGATTGTTCCGTTCCTACGTTTTTTCCCGTAAGTCTATCTGTCCATTATGTATCATTTTCTCCATTGATACTTCTATTATCCGTATACGATTACAGACAGTCTTCCCACGATATGCGGATCTATAATTTGCGATAGCGGCAATTGAATTCTTTCGTTAAATCGCGTTTGCAGAGCAGAACTGACTTCATTTAGAAAGTAATATAACAATGACGAGCGATACAGTTTCTCCTTTCTTTGAATCACTGAAAAGTGATTGTTTAATGCAAATGAAAAATATTATTATTATAAAAACAATATCTCAAATACGATGCACTAAAAAAATTAAATAGGAATGACTTTTTAAAACAGAACCTTACTTTTCTGTCAATCTTAAACAAATTTTGCTGCGCCAAAATATCGTCTTGATATCAAAATTTTCTTTCTACTTTAGAAAAAATTATGTTTAACAGATAAAAAATACCTTTACATGTGTTTAATATTTGTAACTTTACGTGAAATCATATTATTGGAAAATTAATCAAATTGCGGCAACAATGTAAACGTCACGCCATCTCTATTACACATTGTAGTTCTGTATATATTCTTACGCTTTCACGTTTTATCCTGTACAATTCTACACCTTCGTTCACAGTACACTGTTACATCGATCGTTGATAAAGCATGTAAGTGCCGTGTTCTGTCGTGGATAAGTCAGATCTTTCTCGTAAAATCAATATTTGTAACGAAAAAGTTTTCAATATAAAAAATGAAAAACTAAAATTTTTAATTAATAATTCTTATAATTGTAATTGATAATACCTGGATGAGCTTTCGTCTCGTCGCTGGAACAGTACGCTCTTGTAGAAAATCTGCCGAAAATGTGCTCTGATTTGACCGAGGAGAAGCTTTATATACGCGTTAAGGTAAGAGGTGTGTTCTGTGGTTCAATATCGAGTGACGGACGATTATATTCTTAGACGGCAGCACACAATAAGACCGTTCATTATTAGTAATTAATATTAGTTGACATTGTGCGGAAATTGGTCTAACTTTGCACTTTCATCAAACACGGCACCCTACAACGTTACAACTTTTAGAGTGATTAGGTAATTACATAGTGTTATGACTCGCGAGAAATTACACGGCAAATTTGCATGATCCAAAATTTATACAAAGTGTCTTAAAACTCCAATTTTGTAAAATTTGTAATTTATATGTATATTAATAAAAAAGATAAAGCTAACATTATACACTTTTTGTTTGCGGAACGATGTAAATTGAAAAAACAACTCTCAGTAGAAATAACTGAGTTAATTTGTTACTAAAATTAGAAAAATTGCAATTAAAAATGCAATATTCCTATAATTTTCAAAATTTAATCTATTTTATTATTATTATTATTATTTTGTAACTTTTATACTTTCGGCTATAGAAAATAATCAATTAACTTGTCGTTAAAAATGAGTAAAATTTTTAAAAAAATTTAGTATATCTAAAATATCTAAAATTTAGGTTTATTTTATTTGTTTCTTGAAAAAATTGATTCTATATCGATTATACAAAATAACTCAGTTAATTTGTTGTTAAAATGAGTAAAAATTTCAGCTAAAAAATATTCAGTATCTCTAAAATATTTAAAACTTATGTTTGATCCATTTTTTTTTCTAAGAATTAATTGGATATCGAGATGGGACATTTCTTTAGCATGTTAGAATAAAATTACAGTGATTGTGTAAATTTCTCTCGATACAGAGAGAAAAACTGTATATTACGCGCGTTTATTGTAGTTCTCAGGTTGAACCGCTATGCGGCCACACTGGCGAGTCATCGTTTCACTATCATTCCGCTATCGTGTGGAACGCAAGCGCATTAGGCAGCTGCGTCTTTTTGCGGACCGTGCCTCGCGCTTGTCACCTCAGTTTTACGAACGCGTGTTTCGTTCAACACGCGTTTCCGCTGGTGTGCAACGGGAAGGCAGATCAGTTGCGCGAGGTCGTCGTCGTCGTCGTTGTCGATGCTTGTACGCATAGGCTGCGTCGCGTCATCGTCATCGTCGTTCGTCATCGCTCGGCGCAGCTCATCGTCGTCGTCGCTCGTGCGGGAGCTCGTGTCGCCCCAAATCCCTAGGGTGGAAGAACCCCGGAGGATAGCGACATGTCGACATCGCGAGTGTCTCGATCGCGACAGGCATAGTGACGATTATACAGTACACACCGATGACGTCAGCCGCATCACGATATGATGGAGTCCATCAGAAAATGGTTTTACAGGCCTAAGGTGAATACGTCACGCGCTTTGGTGTGCCCTCCAGTTTGCTTTGCACTCTGCTCGACCCCTCTGCGTTTCCTCCTCCCCGCACTTTGTTACACACATCTGTCCCATTCTCTTTCTCTGTCTCCCTCGTGGCTTGCTCTCTCTTTCTGTTTCTCTCTCCCTCTCTATATTGCTCTTTGTCTCTCTCGCATGTGTTTTTGCCGCTTTACATAGTTTTCTTCGCATTTTATTTTGCCTGTATTTCATTTTTCTTTCAATTTTTGACGCATGATTCCTTAATTTGCACCACATCCCGAGAATATCTTTCGTACTACTATTGAATAGATTCTATTTTCTCTTTCTCCCTTCTCTCAACACCGTCGTGCTGATCGAACGCGTGCGCTTGTTCTTTTTCCTCCTCTCTCTCGTCCTCACCGCGGACTCCTTCCTGAGCGCTGTTGCCACCTGTTTCGTGAAAATTTCGCACGGCACGACGTGCGTATTGTACACCTGCGTGAATGCGCTCGCTCGCGCGTGCACAGCATCACGTATATGCGCGCATCGCGAATCCGAATCGCGACTTTCGTTCAATTCGTTTGCAAGAGCGATCTCTGCCTCTATTGAAAGCCAGCATCGAAATATCGTACGAAATCCCAGTGAAAGTCGACGTATTCACAACTTGATTCAATGTAATCCGAAAAGATCGAGCTTTCGAATCTCGATACAGTGCTGTAAAATCGTCGGTAATGCCACGGCCTCAGCTGTTAATGAATTGAATTGAAATCAGAACCGAGTAATAATTGTGTGTATATATATATATATTAACATTATAATTATTAAAATACTGACACATCCTTTTCTTTCCCAACCTCCCCTCCTCATTCCTCATTAAATCGCACGATGTGTTTTAAAGCCAGTGTCACATGGTATACATAATAAAGTATTCCGCACGAGACTATCTTTCGTTTATTTTCATTAACGCTCTATCTCTCGCCTGTATGTCATCAACTGAATTACATGGTCGTATTTGCCGGTGGGGAACAGGTACCTGTAGATTATGGGAAGTAATTACGCTTTCGCATATGATGATATGGCGCTTTATTAACGCTATAGTGCATCTGCAAGCTGCGTTACACTTTAATTAATAGTTATGCGAAGAGAAACAAGGATTGAAGAAGTAGCACTTTGCAAATGCTAGAGAGCGAGGTATGAAGCATTTCATTAAGATTAAAGCTCTCGATATGAAAATGAAATTCATAGTATTTAGGTCACTTCGAAAAGTTCTCTTCCGAAGTCCCTTTTAATTCGAAATTCGTCCAATTTTTTTTTTTTTTTTTGAACCGTATATAAATCAATTATTGAGAAACGATGGATAGTCGTCGAAAGAGAGAAGATTTATATTGATGTTATTAATTCATTATATTATATCATATTTATTTTTGTAATAAAATTTAGAGAACAACGCGAGGACTTTGATGTGTCCCAACGCATTGTAACAGACACGTGAAGCAGATTTCCAATAACAAAGGCAGAAGTTATCCCGGATGCAATTTAGCGTTCACGTCGCGTCTCATCGAGACAAGATGAAGCGTGCCTTTAATACTGTACGCGTGATATGGCATGATAAGTATCGTACACATTTTCGCCCGAGTGGAGCCGATCCTCGACAATTGGCGCGCAACGAAGTATTCTATATGCATGTATCATTTATTTTCAGTGTCGCGAATTTTTAAACGCGATTTAGCGTCGAATGTGAAAATTTATACGAGGTATGGAACGCACGAAGTCAATTTCGAAGTAAATGATATTAAAATCAGAGCGGGCAAATTCCTTGCGGTTAATTTCTAAAGAGCGCATAGCTCAGGCAAGATTTGTAGGGCTGTTAATGACCGCAACGCTATTAATAGCCGGAGAAATGAACACCGTGTGTCTCTGATAACGCGCACTTTGTCGTGCTTTGTTTCAAGAAGACTGTATTATCAGAATCATGGATTTCTCCTTTAGGCGTCTTTCAGAAAGTTGTCCGATTTATTTTCTGTGAATATTGAAAGAAGTTTTATCGTAAGAAGAGCCAACTAATGCAAAATTAATTTTTAATAATCTGAGATTCCTAGATGGCGAATATTTTTTCATGCCTTAATAAGATCCGATGCGGGAGAAACATCGCTACCTACGTACCTCAGATTATTAAAAATTAATTTTCCGCCGTCAAGCGCGCTCTTATTAGCTTAAAATATATATAGCTTATTGATTGCATATTCCAGAAAGCCTTTATTCGTACTTCCTATTATTTCTTAATAACAAATAACCGTGAAAAGAAGGAGAAAAACGATGTTATTACAACGCCGGCGTTATTTTATAGGGCGTTTTCGTTTGGCAGGAAGAAACTCATACATGCCGAAACACGCGGGAGCAACGAAGAAAAAAGGGACGGGGACGTGGGGTGAAATAAGGATACAGAGAGGGACCCGGCAATATAGGGTGGTGGCGAAAAGAGGGTCAATGGTGTGTCGGGATGAGTCACGGCGGCGCCCGGCGTTTTTCTCCCGCGTCTGATGACACTGCTCGTGCGAAACGAACGCGAAATGCAATCTGCCGCTGCATTGTAGAATCGATCGATGCGTCTGAGAAATGCGATCGATAGCCTTTGACGCAATAGTTTATTACTATTTTTTACTCGATTCGCCAGTGATGTAAAAACGATACCAGACGCGTCCTCGTACATTGAATTTTTAATCCGCGGCGAATTAATCACGCCTCGTGGATGACAGTTCGTAAATCATGAGCCGCGTGCTCGGCGCAGGAACACGCAACTTTCTATTAAATCGTCGTTACGAACCGTTGAGTACTTAGCGAAACCGCTAAGTAACGCAATATTCTGGAGAAGTAAGCTAGCGAGCGAGCGAGCGAGCCCGAGAGAGTGGGTTCGTCCGAATTGTTTCTCTGCCCCTCTTTATCGGATGACAGTGATCGCCGTTTTACGGTTGCAAAATAGGCCACAGTTAATTCGCCATGCACGGCTCTTCTAAGCAGCCTAGCGACAATTTGGAATCTGGAATTCTGAACTGTAAATCTTGAAGTCGTCGATACATCCAAAATTTTCTTTCCAATTAAACACTTTCTTCTCAAGGTGAGAAATATTACTCAATGGAGATATGATAATCGCCCACTCGGTAAACCGATTCATTCGATCACCAATTGAACGTATAAAAAACGCATAAATCGATTAAACGACCGTTATTACTTGCAATTTAAACCCAAGCCCCGAAGACGGAAGAAGAATGCCGAAGTGCATTTTTCAGTCCGCTAAATAAAAGACGGTGGGACGCCGTTGTAAAGTACGCGGTAAAGCCGCTCGTTTTCCGGTCATCGTGTCGTGTCGGCCGCTCCGTGGCAAATTTATTTCTCGTAATTGTGCGCGTTCCACGAATGTACAAAGTAAACGATACTGTCGCGAAATCGCCTCGTTCATTTAATCTGCTCATTTAACGATAATTGTTATCGTTATCGATAGCACACACGTATACGAACGTCCGAAAAGCGAAGACGCACAAACATTCGTGAGTGCAAATATTAGAATTCTTCGTGCACAATCCAGGAAGTCTCACAAATGTGGAATCTTCAAACCCATCGTAATATCCTCTTAAAGACAACGAGATGCATAGAAGCGCGAGATGGGTTTTTACAGAATTACCGCAAATGGCAAATTTCTGATTACATTATTTTTCACACTTGCAACGACAAGCTCCCGCGGGAGACAGCTGCTGACTATGAAACCTGGAATTTTACCACACGCTGGCAAGTTGCGTTGAATTTGCTTGTCTTTGACAAAATAAATTTTCACTCTCGTAATTATATACTATTTTAAGAAAATTGTTTCTGCTTTGAAATTGTTTTCGAGAACAAGGAGAGATACCTGCGTGTTTTTTTTCCAGACACGAAACACACAAACAAACATAGCGCTTTGTCTCGATATCTCGAAGTCGGATTGGATCAATGCCATTGTGTCAAAGCGAGAAGAACGAATGCTCCCTCCTATCGCGCGTATCGTTTTCTTGTTCTTTTGCTCGCAAACCGCAGCGTGACATTGTTTCTAATTCCACGATATCGATACAAAAGGTTAACCGATTTATTTATCGCGCTGCATATTTAAACGCGGCTCCTTGAATCATTTTCCGTACGTGATTCAATAAGAAGTATATTCGTGCAACGATAAACACGTTTCATTGTCATAATTCTACATGCATCTAAAGCACGCGTAACATTATCTAGCAGATAATGAGGGATGAGTCAACGGTCTAACACTGTGTAATATAAATGGGAATGTAATAAATGGGAATAGAGATCGTTGCGATCGTTTTTGTCTCTCCCGAGCGAGAGAGAGATTGCTTTTCCATCTCCGTGGGAAGAAACCCGGTTTCACTCATCAAAATTTAATGGACTTGTTAGCGTTAATTTGATCCATAATAAAAATTCACGTTACAAATACGCGTTTTCTTATTATAAACGTACTCTCCGCAAGATAAAAACTTATCGCTGTATCGATAAGACAAGAATAAATTCATATTTGAACTTTGCGCAATCAATGATCTGTGAGTAATGATGTTGCGATCGCGATCGGCTTATCTTTCCTTCCAATACATTTTCGCCCGATAAATCGCTCGTTACAGGCTGACTATTCTTCACGTAAATAACATTTTCGGAGCGATTGGTCTTGCGACTAACGTGAGTTCGAAGCGTTAATCGCATTCTGCAGATCGGATTCCGCCGTAATCGGATTGAAAAGTGGCCTTTTCTCAAAACGAGCAGCTTCGACTCGCCGCTTTGTCGAAATGGGCTGTCAACGGGCGCGATTTCGCAGCTCACGGTCGTCACCGTGACCTATATATCTCCCGCGAAGTATTAGATTCGTCGTTATCTTCGAATGCCACATGTTGCTTACGTGAACGCTGCAATTCCGCTAATAATTCATGGCGTATTTACCCGCTTTATCCTCGCGTGACGTCGACATCATTATTCGCGTTACGAATAAAGCGCTCGTTAGATCGACGGAAAATGTTGGGGGAGGGAGGGAGGGGGGGGAGAGGGAAGCTTCATGAACGATTAAATCAACTTCACCCTTTACCCTATACGCTCGACGTCATATCGGTAGTACAAACCCGCTCAGGGGGAACAAATACCGGCAGGTCTCATCGTTGTACCCTTTAATCGTGACGTGGGTCGCCCTCTTTCATTATGACGTCGACGTGCGATCAGTGTCATTGTTCAGACATGGGTGCGTATCGTGAGTTTATAAATATCGCGGACGCGGACTTATCCCTCGCGGGAACGTGGGTGGAAAGTCACCTATCTTTTTAATATCAAAAGGAAAGTTACGATACAGCCTCGAGCCTCGGTTAATCCTTTCAATGCTAAAATACCTCGCCATTCAAGCGCTTTATTTTTCTAATTAATTCTTTAACTCATTATGTTAAACTTCACACAGTTGATATATTGATGATATTTGTATGGAATATTCGCGTTTAATTATAAGAAACGATCAAGCCCGACTTGTAAAACTGAGGAGATTTTGACAAATATTATTTTCTAAACGCCGTACTGGCAATATATCAAATTGCATACCATAAATGCGACATAAACGCAGTTACAGCGCTTTTGCACGAGTCGAAGAATTAATGATCTCTTTTCATTGCAGAGAGACGACACGAGTCTGCTGGCTCAGTTCTTTTATGCCGACGAGTCCTTGAACGCGGTCGCCTGCGAACTGGACTCCTTCGACGGCCGACAAGAGCCGGAGAGATGCACGTCATTGGTGAACCAGCTGCGGCACTGTCAGGACAAGGTGCTGACGATCTGCAATCAGATCATGGACGATCTGATACCGGAAAGTCGCGCCAACCGAGACTTCAGAGTGAAGTTCCCTGATGACGTCATGCAGGAAAATCTAGCTGGACAGCTTTGGTTCGGCGCGGAATGTCTCGCAGCCGGCTCTTCCATCATGAATCGCGAGGCCGAAAGCTCGGCAATGAGGCCGTTGGCGAAAGCTCTCACCAAGTCGTTGGAGATCGTCAGAAATTTACTTAGAGAACACGCGCTCAAAGGTCACATGAACTTGAAGGTATTAGTCGCGCATTATTTTAGGAAAATTCATTTAGCTGTCAATATCGCTCTTTCGAAAATCAATAACGGCGCTTTTCCGATGCGATTTGCAAAATAAGCGTAACTCACATTTTTTTCCTTTTGTTATTTTTATGTCTTTGTTACGTTATTTATTTAGCTCTGTTATATATTTCTATTATATATTCTAACTACTATTATATATTTCTGTGTGAGTTGAGAGATAAATATAAAATATCACCAACAAGTTAAATTCCAACAATTATATCATTTTGTTGCGGTTGAATGTGGCGGTAATTTTCAAAGGAAATTTCGTAAATTCTGCGTAATCAAACGACGAAGATATAAGTTATCCGGTTACTATTCCGGTTTCTTGCATCCTGCAGCGCAAGATAAATAAAAAGTATTTGCGAAAGCTGACGGGGCTTTCCACAGAACATGCTTAATTAATGACTAATTTCTTGTCTTTAGTTGAGCAATCAAGTCTATTAATAGCACCTTTTTCAGACGCAAAATCCACTCGAGCCGTCTCTGGAGAAACTCATCGAGTCGTTGAAAATTTTCGATCGGCTCTTCGCGGATTTCGAGCTATGCTACGTCGGCGCAATGGTGCCGGTGAAGTCGACGAAAGAGTACGAGCAGCAGGAACTGGTATGCGTACTCTTTTCGGAAACTTTGCAGCGAGCGCTCGAGCGGGGACTGTTGGACCAAGCGGATGTAGATAACTATGAGCCGGCTTTAATGTTTACTATTCCACGCCTGGCTATCGTCTCGGGACTATTGGCACCGCCTGGAGGACCGCTGTGTCTCAATTCGCCCGACACTATTAGCGAGATGTTTAGGCCATTTCGGGTAGGTGACAGACATATGCAATGTAACGAATTTCTTCAAAATCTATAGACACATCTTAGAAGCTAAATAAAAAAAAAAAAACAAGCTCTTGCGTCTAAGTTTGCAACGTGATAACAAAGTTATTTATTTTTACATTTAAAAGGCTTGACAAAAATATTCATACGTTTCACTTTCAGACTCTGCTGCTCAAGATAAGAGAGTTATTATGGACGTTAAACAAACGCGAGCTGTACATGCTGGAAAAGTTGCTATGCTCGAACGAGGAGCCGTCAGGCTCGATCACACAGTCGACGAAATCCGCGTGTCAGGACATACCCGATTTGGAGGAGTACGTGCACAATTTTTACAGCGGTTACCCGAATTGCAAGGAGTTCATTGTTGACTTCTACACTGTGACGAGGAATACGGGTAACAATATGGACGAGGTGGCGAGTGATGCGGTTCAGTCACTGGACGAAGAGGGCAAAGCCGATCAGTCGTCGAACAGGAAGCGCGAGGATAGGGACGGGCGTAGGAAGAGGAGGAACGGCGCGGAGAGCAGGCGAGACGGCTTAAACATATCGTTGGACGGATGTGATAATAACGTAACGTGCGACAGCAGCGGCGAAAAGGCGCAGCAAAGTGACGGGGAAAGTGTCGGTGAACGAGTGCGATACGAACGGGAACTCTCTAACGCTTCGTGCGACGACGGACCGTTCTCTCATGACTGTGATTCCGTTTCCAACGGCGAGAACAACGTTAGCGAGCACTCCGGCTCGATAGCGCGAAACGACGCCGCGGGATCAGACGCGACGGAGAGCGGCGCTTCGAACAGCGCCGAGGACGCGCGGAACGAGGGTAATTTTATGACGCTCGACGTGGCGCAGATGCTCGAAGGGTGCTCCGACAACATCGAGATCCCGCAGACTCAGTATATGCTTAATCAGGTCACCCGCGAGAGCAATATAGACGGCGAGACCGCGCACATAGAGAATTCGCTGCCCGACCTGGACTCGAAGAAGCTCATCTCGGAGGCGAATAAAACTCTCTCGAATTTATTGCTGGACTCGGGCGAGTGCCAGAACGAGATCTCGGAGCAGACGGACTCGGGCATATGCACGGTGATATCGTCCGAGAACACGAGCTTGTACGACAAGAGTCCGGAGGAGAAGAAAACGTTCGCCAATGAGATCGAGCAGGACGGATGCGGCATCTCGGACGAGGAAGATACGCAGGAGAACACCAGCTACTCGTGCTCTAACATGAACTCGCCGAAGAAGAAGAATCCTACCATCGCGGAAAACTCGTGCGTTTGCGGCATGAGGGGCGTCAGCAAGATGGTCGCGCCTGCCTTGGACCATTCGATCGACGGTCTGCACTCGAACGGCGACGGGGAGCCGGCGAGCAAGAACGTTCCGCGAATCTCGTCGAATTTCGACGGCACTAACGAGGAATTTATCGGCGTAGCGTACGGCAACGGCCAATTGACGCTCTGCGATTCGAATCAGTCGACCTTCCAAATAAACTACTCCGAGAACTGGGAAAATCTTAATCTAAACATCGACGCATCGAGCTCGAGGAAGGAGTTCTGGGGCGATCTCAAGTGCGAGAACTGCCCGTCCACGTCGCAGAGCATCGACAAGATCGGCAGCAAGATCGAGAAATACGCGCAGGAGAAAATAACGGCGAAGAAGACGCGGGACGAGAGGCAGCGGCGGCGGCATCAGCACAAGCTGGAGCGAAACGCGCAGCGAGCGCATCACAGATCGGCGGAGAAGAGACACAATTTGCAGATCATGCGGTCGGCCACGAGCACCGAGAGCTCCAGATCCAATTCCACGGATCGGTGCTTGAATCCCCGATTGACCGGCTTCGGCGCCAGCCTGCATCTTGGCCAGAACACGAGGCAGATACCGAATTTTGGCAGCCACAGTCCGCACATGAGCCCGCGGTTGCATCACTTCGAGACGCGCAGCACTCCGGGCTCCGGACAGCACTGCTGCAATCTCGGGACGCACGGGACGACGAACAGACGCTCGTCGCCGCCGAGCCGAAAGTTGTTGGATCACAGGCGATCCAAGTCCGAGCAGATCGCGCGAATGAAAAGGAGAGACGTCGAGAAGAGGGAGAAGTACGATCGGGACAAGTATGCGCGCACCGAGCACAACAAGAGAAAACTGGGAACGGGCGGAAGCTCTTCTAATCTGATAAACGACGGATTAGGCCCGCGGACGGATAAGAGCGGCTTGGTGACGGAAATCGCGTCCTCGAACGCGTCGCACAATGTAGGCTGTCACGAGTTTCAACACGCGCGGGGCAGTCACTTGCGGAGATCCGCCCGTGCGAGATTGGTCAACGCGTCAACGGTATCCGGCGTGTCGTGTTTGAACACCGATCAGTCGTCGAGCTACAAAGCCGACATAGTTTCGAGCTCCAGCTGCTCGAGCTGCTGCGAGTCGAGCTCGGAGACCAGTGAATTTCACAGCGATTGCCAGGATGACGAAGAGATCGCATTAGCGATGCAGGCCGCTGAGATCGCAAATAGAAATCAAATTAGAGCCAAGTTTCGGTAAGAGTACACATTGTTGCTTCATCCGCGCGTTGTTAACACTAACGTAATTGTGCATCAAACCTGAATCTATTGGCACATATAAATGTTTATATTTCTTGTGGTTTCATGCAAGAACGACCAATGCCACTTTTCAGTCAAAACAAGTTATGCGTTGCATAACAAGTTCCGAGATGAACACGATTCCTCACAAAAGTTAGCCTCACGAGTGAAAATAAAATGATTGCAATTCAGACTCAATTTTCCAAACATTCTTTAAATTCTGTCATGAGAAACAGCATTATTTTACTTTGTTCAAATTGTTCTTGCATTTAACGATATTTATATCATTATATTCACTAAATATTCAACAATAAGAATTTGTCAATCTAAATAATTAATTTGCTTTGTATTTTTAATGTACGTTCTCTACATCTTTTTATTTCTCTCGCGTATTTTTACCTTATGGATTTTACGTACTTTTATTCTCTTTTCTGTCTCTTATATATTCTTATTTTTCACTTCCTATATCCTCTTTTTCTCTTCATTTACGCACGCAATCTTCGCGTTATTTTATTATAATATTTTTTGCTACGCTTTTTTGTGCTATTCTTAAAAATATTCTTCTCATATATTATTATTTTTCCAGATCTTCGGAAGATTTGGTTCATCGCCTCTTCGTTTGCATAGCTGGCGTGGCGGATCAACTGCAAACAAATTTCGCATCGGATTTGCGGAACATTCTGAAATGCGTTTTTCTCATGAATAGTAGTCAGATGATCGAAGACGCTGAAGGATCGAAGGATCAAAGTCCGAACTCCACGAATCAATCAATAAATGCGCCGCTCGACACGGTGGAGACTGGAAGTATTCACGAGCGGCAAGATTCATTGGCTGAATACGAAGATATGGATGAAACCGCTTTGACACACGACCGAAGTACGAACATTTTTTTTCTTTCTTTATATAACAGAATTTCACCTAAGATTACATATGTGTCTGTCCATCATTAGCATTCAAATATTTATCATTAGACAGCCTAGATATTTTCTAGACAGTCTTATATTTTAAATATCCTTGCTTTACGGTTTAATTTAGGCACAAGGTTGCGCACACACTGGGATAAACAAAGATATGAAATATGCCACTGATATATCACGAGTCCGATTCGTGTTTCTTTTGATTGACCCATAATACATACACACACGAGTCCGACTTGTGTGTTTCTTGTGCTTGGCACCTGTAATTCATGCCGCGAGTCTTACTCGATATTAGAGGGCAAGAAGTTAAAATTTAAATATTGCAATAGTATACAAGTTAATGATTTTTTCAGTTTGTTACATTGCAAAATGTTTTATCTTTCTACGTCAAAATGCACGATTTTAATACTTTAACAACATTTTTTTTGTAAAACTGTGCGCTACTTGTAAAATTATATAATATTACTATTGCAGTCATACATGTAAAATGGAACATTTTTTATTGAATTTAGACTAAAGTACAATATATAACTTTTGTTTGGTGTGAAATCTCGTATAAAATTGTTCATCCAATTGTGGGCAGACACATATTAAAAAAATATTATTAAGTTTCTCTCCGCGAAATATGCGGACGTATATCACTCGACACATAATTACACAATTGCGTTAATTATTACCACGCTCGTGTTTCTCGCTTTCACAGCTTCTCCCGTGACCGAGAGGGGAGAGGAGTGCGTCGAGAGAGCGCCTGCTTGGGTGCCAGACAACGATGCGCCGCGGTGCATGGCATGCCAGGCGGGATTCACGGTCGTGCGGCGCCGGCACCATTGTCGAAACTGTGGCAAAGTGTTCTGCGGCCGTTGCAGCAGCAACAACGTCCCACTGCCTCGTTACGGGCACACGAAGCCTGTGAGAGTGTGCAACAGGTGTTTTCTGTACCAAGTGACACCTTTTACGGTCTCCCAGGTCACGTCTACCAGCTGAATGTTTCTGGAATGGCTCGTAAATCCGATTATTTTTTATTGAGCTCCCTACGCGCCCGTATCCCTCTTTCAATGTGCAACGTATTCACGCAAATCTGACAATTATTAATAGCGTTCAGAAAGTCGCTATTCTTGCAATAGGAACAATATTTCAATACATCCTCTTCGTAGAGAGGGGATACAAATCATGTAATTATGTGATATATTCGCCCGGTGTTAAGAACTTTAGTCCAATGAATTTAGCGTCGCTCCATTCGGAAGCTGAAATGAATTTGTCAAGCTATTTCGAACATTGTCTCCTTTTCTTCTCTTCTATCTCTCGAGTGGTATAAATGCATATATCGAAAAATCTGGTGGCATCTTCGATTTGCCCGATTTCGTCAATGTATAGTTTGTAAAAAAGAGAAATCGTAGAAACGCGTTTACCGTATAATAAGCGAGAAGAGAAATTGGAGGAGGATCGCTGCCACCGGATTACTTTCGCGCGTTGTTTGTACACTCACGTGCACTTAAGCTATAAAATTTAGATATATCGGCGCTAATCGCTCATATTTTTACACATCGTGATTAGATATTCCTGAAGAAAGTTATTCCAATTTGTGACAAATGCGACAACGCAATTTGACTTGGCTAGGTAATAAGATTTCTTGTAAAAATTGTTAAAATTCATTTAAGAGAGTTGTGTCTTCGTATTTAAGGTAAGCGATTGTACAGAGAATTATACTTATCACGAGTACCTTATGTTATTATTATTTTGATTATTATTATTTTAATAATTATTATTATCGTTACTATTATTTTTATTATTTCACTACGTAAATGTAGTCCTTAGAAAGATTTGTTGTTTAAATTAAATAATTCTTAATTGCTTAAGTTATAGTTCTAGATTATTTTCATTCTAATAAAATGATTATTGTACCATGGTTTATTTCAGAAGATGATAAAACTTCTTCCGCGCGTTCTCTTTTCCAAAAAAGAATAATAAGACTAATACGAATACGTTATCAAGTTATCGATATGTTCATAGTAATCGCAATGTAAATAATATTTCTTGGTATATGGTCATAAATTTCTAATATAAATAATAATTATTTCAAGTTATATTAAAGCGCCGCGCGCACATATTTAAAAGAATTTGAACTTTTAGCGTAAAGTGTTATCGATTGCAGCAAGACTTTAGGTCAACACGCAAGTATCATTACATTGCTGTAATCTCGATGTGAAGATTCGTTCAGTTTTAAAATGTCTAGAGATTTCTCTCCAGAATATCTTAATAATTATTCTACGCTTGCATATTTTCGGTAAACTTCGGTTGATAATTGATAAATAATTTTCCATAGAAAGTAAGCCTTCTCACGCGGAGGCTTGCGTTATTCTCTAAGCGTGAAATTATGTCTAGTGTATATTCACTCCTACGATGTATAGCGTGTACATGTCTGGAGTACATACACACACACACACACACACACACACATTTAAAACGAATAATAATAATAATAATAATGTTAAGGAAGAGAGTGCGGAAGGAAATTTTTGCATTCAACGGTCGGGTCACGTCATAAACTGTCACCGAGATAAAATTTCTAAGCATTCTACTGCCCGCTGAAACGTTTCGACGTATATACACAGGTGCGCGCTGGCACACAACACGACTAGCTCCTGTGCCAAATTTACGACAATAAGTTTTCTCTTTCTTACAACACGCACGAATTTGGTTCCTATCGGAAAAGCTTGGGCCGATACTTCCGATTAGCATCCGATTAGTTGTGTTGAAGGCAAGACTGTGACTAATAAAGGAGGAGCGGTATTTCGACACAGACAAACCCGACGTTAATGTGCACCTCGATTAATAAAAAGACTGGAATGTACAGATCGTTCGCTTATTATCGTTTTCCGAGCGTTCGTTGTAATTGATATAAATTCCAAATAATAGATTTACGTCATTATTAATTTTGTTTCCAATTATATTCTATTGTACGAATGTGAGCTGTTCATAAGATGCGAAAAAAAAAAATGATTATGATTAATTTCACCAATGTCTTCTCAAATGCTCGTCGAATCTCATTTCGACGCTGCGTCGATGTTCGAATGTCAGTTAAAATATACTGAAATTGTTTGACCATTATGCACTTGTTAAAAACGATATTTAACGGGAAAGGTAGGCGGAATCGAATATTATGGTCAATCAATGTAGAAATGGAAACACATCACGTTCATATATAAACGATTGTATAAATTGGGTGCCGAGTCGATTTGCTGCGGTTGGCGTTAGCGAAGGGACGACGTTAATTGCAACCGACGTGTATCGATTAATTTGACATTTAGAACCGTATTTACATCGTTGTAGTTACGATTATCGATTTCGCGTACGGACGTAATGCGTAATAATGTTCCCCAAAATGACGAATAGTGATATCGATTCGGTGAGAGATCGGACTTCAAAATCGTTCCCAGACGACACGCGTGTCTTAAAGATATTTAAAAGACGTTTAAAAGCGACGTCTTTTAGACGTCTTTCCGATATCTTTAGGACACGCGTGTTGTCTGGATTGTGTATTATACTAGCGTGTGCGTTGTATAAATTATAAGTAGGTATTTTCACTGTTTAAAAACGAAAAAAAGAAAATAATGTACAGTATCCGTGGAACAGCGAGAGAGCGGTTGTAAGACGTGTAATAAAATTAACCAGCGAGAAAAAAAAAACTTATTTCCTTAAGAAGCACATCGAGTAGAGAATATAACTTTAAGATTACGAACACTTAGACGAAAAGTTATTTTTTACACGTAATCGATGCCTTGCTAGAATATCGTGCTTTCGATTTCGGACGCGAGGAAAAGCTGCTGGTGAAGAGGTCCAGCGGCCAAGTGCGAGGGACCGCTGGCAACATCTCAATCTCCCCTGTGCGAATCATTTTGGTAACCAGGATTTCCCCTGTGCCTAATGTCGCAGGCTAGCCTGTGAATATATTATAGAAGCAAAAAAAAGGCGAAAGAGGAAAGTGGAGAAAACCTCAAACAACACACGCATGTCTGAAAGACGTCTGAAAGAAAAATGCTGTCTTTAAGATATGCGTGTTGTCTGGAAACAGATATGTAAAAAAAAAAAAAAATTCAAGATGAAATAAAATGTAGAGTGGATCAAAGATCACAATCGTCGTGAATGAATTTGAATAAAGAAGCATCGAATAATATCTCTATCGGCATAATAAGAATATAAAGTAAGTAATATTAAATTAACAATAAAAATATAGATTTTATAGAGTGGCGATTGCGGAACGAAATCACGGCTCATTTTAGATTGACAATTCTAAAAGTGTTTATTGATTTTTCGGCGTGGTGATTTTGGTCCACTCGCGTGATACATCGAGGGGGTCACGATCTGCCAATAAATTAAGAAATTCCGATTACGAGGCGACAAAATGTACCTCAGAATTATTTTTGTATTATTTGCCTAAGTGTATGCGTAGAGGCGTATCCTTAGCGCGTTTGACGTTATGAGGGATCGTCTTTCAAGTGGAAGAGCGTGTAATATCGGTTTGCCGGAATGATCGATAAAGCGATGTAATTATCAATGGAACGACGTTAAAAGCGTTTAAAACGTTTAAAACGTTCATTGCCATCAGCGACGTGGCATCTGACACCGAATTTACTTGCGATCGGTAGTCGGAGAGCTAACGATGCGTCGTGATGTTATGTCAATGATTTTGGATTAGCGCGAGGAATGCGATGGTACTTGTGGACGAATGCAACTGTCAGTGTATACATGGTATATGCGTGTGTGCCTATATGTGTGCGTTACGTGCGTGCAAACGATTAAGCTATTCGCAATATTGGATCATGAGACGAGATGTCTCATCGATATACTTGAATGCACTGTGGTTTCGGTAATGGACGTATTAAAACACGAATGTAAATAAAGTTTGTTATTCAAGGTGTTTAAATCGCGTGTTTATTACTCTGCGCTGCCTTCTTTAATTATAGTCATATGTTTGTAATTTTTTTTACTTTATCTTCAATTTGAAATACATAAATCTCGATTTTTCAAAGCTTAAAATTTAACTCTTTTATGTAAAATTGTATTTCATGTAAAGAAATCATTTATGTCCACCATCAAAATTACATTTTACAGAATTATTATCGTCTCCAAAATTACATTCTTTACATTTTATTCGCCCTATTTTGTAATTCTGCTGAAACTGTGTTTTGACGGGAAGGAAGATACTATATTGATTGCTTTAATGAGGTAAAGACAAGAATGTCTTCGTTGTCATAGTGACTAGTCAACAATCTGGAATCACGACACTCGCAGTCTATCAGAAACATTCCTCCACCCGTTACATTAGCATCAACACGTTGCAAAAAAGCTTATAGAATTACGCTAATCGGTTGATATAAAAACTCGATAAAAAAACTTCAGTCTTTCATAAAATTAGCATTTTATGACAAAATATTGTTTAGTGAATAAAATATTACAGGATTCGTCCGCTTACTTTTATCAACAAGTTCTAATCTCACCGATTCATCATGATGGAAATGGAGATGAACGCTGAATTGGACGGTGTAAGTAAATTTGACAGTTATTATATACATTTTACATATTAAACTTTTTTGAACTATTCCACATATGTTTGTAAAAGATTGATCGCTTAGTTCCTTACAGCATTGTTTTATATGTTTTTACATTTTCTTAAAATATCGCATTGTAGATCATTATCGAACGCGCTGTTATCGATTGTGTTCAAATAGTTGTCATTAAATATGCAACATTGACTCTCACTTATCTTTGACATCTGTGCACACGTAATGCCGTGACAAATATACGATAATTAATCATTTCTACCGGCTTCCAAATACGGCGATAATCGTTTGATAATAAGGATAAAATGGAGCGCACAGAGCAGTGGACGTCGAAACAGGATGACGATGTTATTAAAATAGAATTAATTATCATAACTATAACCTAACCGCGCGACTTTGGAGCGGTAAGCACTATAATATAGAACTTACCAAGTTCGTTTGAAAGCTGCTCGCGTGACACCGGGGCAGAGATTGTCTCAACTCGGCGCGAAATCTGGCTCGAGAGAGCTCTTGAATCTATATCAAGAACTCCGTAAGAGCGCAATTTGATACTTTCGCTTGTCTAATTGGAGCTAGTTCTATCTTGGATGTAATTAATATCGGGGCCCGTCTATATGTCAGTGGCGCGGATAGGTGATGATCGAGGACACTCACGTCGAAATATCCTGTCACGGCAACTCAACGATGCTGCTTTCAGGATGACGGAAGCGAAAGCAGTCAACCGTCCACGGAGGGGAGCTCGGCGAGCAGCACGTTTTGTACCTTGGAGAAAGATTACGCGAGGGTAAGAGCCTTTGTTCGCGGAAGTGAGCATCAAAGCATATTTTCCCGTCGTGAGTCCTGGGGAAATTCCTTGACGATAATTCGCCATTTAAACGTCAATATTTTCGACGGCAAATTTCTTTCAATTAAACGCGCAACTCCCTCCGCGTTATTGCGCTCAATTAATTTTCTCGCGACAGAAATACGACCTTCGCGAGTTTAATCGCAGTTATGTCGCCTGAGAGAGATTTATACACAATCAATCTTAAATATAATTCGCCGAGCGAACATAATGCTATTATAACTGCGTTGTGAATTTTCGGTTATCAACGTACCAATTAACGTTCTAAGTCTAAAGGTACTTTATATACATCTTAGATGCACAGTCTTCCTTATATGCGCAGATAACGAACGAAATGAAGGCTAACGAGGCATTAGCTCCCTTTGAGGCCGAGTACGCAAGACTCTACGAATCTTTGTACAAAGCGCATAGAAATGAGAAGGAACTGTCGGAGCAGTGCACCACGCTCAAGGTAAATTAGAATTGTATCCGAATTGCGCTAGAAAATCAAATCTAGTCTCTATATATCTTTCTCTCTCCTTCCGTCTGCGAGTTATTCATAATAATATTGATCGTTCACGTTTGCTGGGATCCAATCGAGTGCTTTTCCAGGACGAGATCGTGGACAGCACGTACAAGATGTACGAATTGAAGAGCACGGTCGAGACGCACGAAGACGAGATAGCCAGATTAAAGCAAGAAGTTGTGAACATGACAAAGCTGGCCGACGCAGCGCACGCGCGCGAGCAGAACGCGCAGGAGATGATTGAAAATCTGCGGCTCAACATCACAAAATTGGGTCTTGAGATCGAGCAGAAGAACAAACAACTGGCGGCCGAGAAAGAGTGAGTCTATTTTTGTGCGCAGGAGAGCCTCACTGCCGCATCGCGCGATGGAACTTCGACGTAAAAAATAACGCAATTTCCGGCCAAATTGCCGACTGACGCTTCGGTGATATAGCGAACTTTTATTTTCTCCTTTTTCTTTCTTTTATTTTCTTTCTTCTTCGTTTTTTTTTTTTTTTTTACACTCCACCGCCTCGATTAATTCGGTCCATCGGATCGATGCGCCCTGTACACAGCGACGCGTGAAAGTGTTCGTAAACGGCCGGCCGAATAAAATTTCAGGAGCGGTCGTGCGCGAGGGTGCGTCATTATATCGGAGATTATATCGGAAATTCAATTATTAGAGACGTGAAATTTCGCTCGAACTGTTTTGCGATCGGAAGGAGTCGTGATGTCTGGACGTGTTCAACGCCCGCGCTCTACAATATGTTGCCGCGCGTTGATTTCTGGCCAGCTTTAATATCGGTCGTGAGCTTGCAACAAGCTCAGCTTTACATTAAGCTGAGCATTATGCACAGCTTACAAACACAAAGCTGAAGTATCAAGAATCGACCGCAAGGTGTTAGCAGCAGCAAATTTTGCGATTTGTTACTACTACTACTGGTTTGCACTGGCTTATAACTGCTACAATAGTTCCGTTCATTTTTTTTCTCTGATAAAAAAATCTTTTTAATATAAAAGAAAATCTTAAACGCGTCACTTTTATCGAATTAAGAATATTACAAAGGCCCGATGATTAAAAAATCAATTAAATCGAGTACTCGTGTCCATTGAACGATGCGACGATTAATACACCCTCGAAGTAATTTATTGTAACGAGAATTTTCAATTGCATTTAATGTCAGCACTTAGCGTAACGATGCCGAAAAAAAAGAAAGAAAGAAAAAAAGAGAAGGAACGAAAGAGACGTGTCACGTCTTGAAAGCATGGGCTTGTGGCAAATTCATGCTCCCCAATGAACTCAGTTGCTACTGTCGGGAATATGGGTTGGCTTCGTTGAGAGTTTTACGAAAATTGCAGCACCACCGTTAGCAAACAAAAGGAGGTTCTGCTGAAGGAGAGAGAGAGACTCGTGAGTGAGATGGAGACTATGCGGCAGCGCATGAAGAACATGTCCGCTTACACGGAGGAACTCGAGAAAAAGAACAGCGAGATCGATCAGCGGATAAGCGAAATGCAGGAGACCCTCGGGATGCAGCTGAACGAGATTTCGCGAGAGAAGAGGGCGCGAGAAAGGGCGGAAACAGAGGTTCAACAACTTCAAGAAGAGATCATCGTGAAAAAGGATGAGCTTGAGGTAAAAAATCGTTAGTAATTAGAGATAACGTGCTCATATTGATTAATATAATGAATGTATGTGTAATATTGAATATAATAATAAATATATGTATAATATTGATAATACTGATATGTATAAATTTAGAGAATAATAATTTAATTATTAATCGTAATTTTATTGGATTGAGTATAATGATCCAGATAAATATTTATATTTTTGGATATTCTAAATAATTCGGTTCTATTAAAAACGAATTTTTGCACCATTTAAAGTAAATGTAAGTTATTTAACGTTGGTTTTATCGACATTTATAACATATTACTTATTTCTATTTCTTTTTCCTTTCTTTTAACAAAATCAAAGGGAAAATTAAATTAATTAATTTAATCATTTATATATTACGATAAAAATCACAGAAAATCTCAGAAAATGTATCGATATAAATTTGAATAATTTTTCTAAGAAATTATAAACCAGTTTGATTGCCTTTGATAATTCTACTATTAAATTAATTAGCAGAATTGAGTTAATTAGATTGAAAGAAGTATTAATATTTCTTACATACAATTTATAATTCAAATTACTTATAATTCAATCCAATATTATTCCGTCCATTTGAAATCAATCGCAATTAACAAAGATATTAGGGAATGATAAATGAATGCAGATTGCAAACGCATCTATCGAGGCCGGCACGAGTAACGCAATGCGGCTGGAGATTCTGTTGAAGGAGCAAAAGGCAGCGAGTGAGAAGATGCAGAAGGAGATTAGCAAACTCATGTTGAAGAGGATGAATCTGCAGACGGATCTCGACAACGCAAACGTCGAGACGGAAAAGCTGGTGAAGGAACTCTTCGATAGAGAGAAGCAACTGCGGGATATCAAGCAAAAGATTACCAGGTAATGAGAAAAGCTCACGCATTACACATACAAATATTAGTCAATATTCTGAAGACAAAAAATTCTTCACACAATCAAACGTCGCGAACGAGGAATGCTTTAGAGCGCAAGAGGACAACGTCAAGTGCCATCACGAGAAGGACCTGGTGGACAAGCGGTTGCAGAAGACTGAGGCCGAGCGGGCCAAAATGGAGAGCGAGCTGAAGCAAGCCTTGATCGACGTCAACAATACAGAGCAGAAAATGCAGACCTGTCAGAAGGAGCAGCTTGACGACAAGCAGCGCATCGAACTTCTGCTGCGGGAAAAGAACACTATCGCGCGTAGCAAGGAAAGCGCTCAGGAACAAATCAGGCAGATGCACCGCGAGCTGCTGGTATGCGAGAACAGCAGAAAAAAGCTCGAGAAGGAGCTCGACGCCGCGCTGCACAGCGTCGATGATGTGAAAAATCAGATAGAAGCGGTGGAGAAAGAGAAGGATAAGTACATCGCGGTAGTGCAAGAATTAGAGCAGAAGGTAAGGTTTTACATGGCGCTGAAGATAATAGCGAATATACGCGAATACGCGAGAGAAAGTTTCCGGTGGCCGTTAATTCCGACGGTTTTGCAAAAGCGTAGAGTACGAGCGTCGAGCGGTACTCTACGCTTTTGTAAAACCGTCCTTTCCGCAAATTGAGAGGGAAAAATTAAAAATATTTTCCGCTATCATTGCACGAGAGGGATAATATTGCGGTAAAATAGCGGTACATTTTGTTGCTTTGACGTACAAGCTGTCCTGAAATTCGCGGACGTCATTTTAATGAGAGATTCTCCGACCAATTTAGAGCCAATTTTTTTCACTCTGTTAAACTAGCACCCCCACCACAAAAAATTAAAATAAAATATATACCAAAATAAAGTGTATAATATACATTATACAATAAACTGAGGGTGGATTTTGTGCGATAAGGGTTAAATATTAAAATTTATTTTTTTATATTTTGTGAACACCAAAATCAGGGAATATTCCAGGATTAAAATAAATTTTCCAATTTTATTTTTTTTGGGTACTTTACTCTTTTACGTATTCTGTTCTTAGCTCATATCTTCTAAATTTCTATAGATAGCTAAATTCTGTTAATTGCTCTTGAAAGCACTTAAAATTTTGTGGTGGGGGTGCTAGCTTAACAAAGGTAATTTTTTCTCCGTAAAAATCGAGGATGGTCATCATTCAGCGCAGCTTTCCAATTTTTAACATCATATCTCCTTAGTTAAGCAACAAATTGAAGTTTTATTAAAGTAGTAACTACTTGAAAGTAAACTAATTGAAATTGAAAAATATGGCTCTGTTATTTATTTGTCCCTGTGAGATTCAATCCCGCGAGAAGCCCTTTTTTTTCAATCGCTTACAATTCGGAAATTACATTGTCGCTGCAGAAAAATCGACTTAAAATTGGTTAGAGAATCTCTCTAAGAGAGAATAATGTTCAAAGAATATATTCTTAATTTTCGGGACACCCTATATAGTTCGGCTTATTTTTTATTCATTATTCATTATTTTCCCATGCTACATTTAAACACGCTTTCAACTTTGTCTTTATTAATTACGCAGGATATAATTTACTTGAATAAATAATTAGATTGACAATTGAGCAAACAATTAATAATGTAGTCTGTTCCGCGTAGAAACTATCGTATATACAAAGTTAAATGATCCCTTCGATATTTTTAGTAACAAGCAATTAAAACAGTAAATGAGTGGCGAGTAATTAGCCGTCTTTATTAGCTTATTAGAGCATGCAAACGTGCTTTCAGCAGGAAGAATAAACATTTATCAAAAACCATTTGTCATTCTGAACGTGAGGCGAGTTAGTTTTTGTTATTACGCTCTTTTCTTTTTTTTATTAATACTTTATTTAAAAACCAGAACTCTAATTTTTTAATCAACTCTGATTTCGCTCGGAACTGCGATGATTTTTCCCGGCGGTTAAAAGGAAAAAATTACTCAGTCGCAGCAAACATAAATCCTAAGGAGACCCGTGTAATTCGCTAGATTAGATTTGATTCTCTTATCAGGAGAATTTCACGGTCCCGCGAATTTAGAAAAAGCTTTTTCCACGGTGACCGCGTGGTCGAAATGAAATTCTCAATTCTAGGAAATGCTACGTCGAGAGATAATGCGGATAGTGACTGAGAAGTAGCGGCATAAAATGCAAAATGTAAATCTCGTAACGGGTCATTAAAGGACGAGGAGAGAGTTCTTGTTACAGTAATTCTCATCTCTCAGCCGGTATAACGATCCGCGCGGAATATCGCTGGGATCAACCGTGAATATTTGTTCGAGGGAATGATAATACGCTATTGTTCATTAAAATATCGCGATACCATCTCGTGAAACTTTTCGCATTGTGCGCCGTGATATTTTATATTCCGACAATTCATATAAATTTCGAATTTAGGTCGACATACTTTAATGAATATCACGCGTCTGTGTCCGTGCGCCCTCGACGCGCTCTGTGGTCATTGATCGATCCCGAATGAGCGCGAGTAAGCTGAAAGTGATGCGAAACGGCGCGATTGATTTACGACACGTTTGGCAGATAGAAGATTACATAAAAGAGGCTAAGCTAAAGCAAGCGGAGATTTTCGATTATAAGAAGCGTCTGGCGGAGGCCGAAACAAGGTACCGTCAGCAACAGAGCTTATCCGAAGCCGCCCGTGCAGAGCGGAACCTGTGCAGTAAGAGCCTGGTCGAGGCGCAGGAGGAGATGCGGGATTTGAAGAGCAAGTTGAAGATCACGAACCAGCAGGTCGAGCAATTGAAGGAGGACGTTGCGACGAAGGAGGCCAGTCTCATCAAGAAGGAATTCCGTAAGCCAATCCAATTTAACGTCTCTTGGACCCGCCGTTCGTTTCAGCCGGTTTATTTTAACTACCAATTTCGCCAAATAATTAACCTCGTCGTTCATAACTTTTTTTCTTCTCAATTTTCATCGCGATTTAGCGTATTTTGTTATACCGATGTCGAGAGAATGAATACATTATACTGTCGTATTTGTTAATTTATTTTCGCTCATGTGCTTCCGCAATAGTACGTCACATGGATTCTTTATTGCGATAAACAAATAACGGCAGCGCAAACGCAGGTGTTCTCGCGCTTTATTTTCATATATTCAACGCACATTCTGAATGTTTTACGTCGAAATTCACCGTTCATCACAATTTGTATATCGACTCGTTGTCAGTCCGCCAAATGTTGAATTGCGTAAATTAATAAATAACGAACTGCGCGGAGTACAATAGCGAAACGCGGACGGGACATGTGTATTTCGATACGCATGTCACGTCCAAACCTTGTTTAGCTGACAAAACAGAGAGACGCACTCCAGTGCGCAGTGGTGACGTTGTAATTGTCGCAATGCACTCGCATTGTTTATCATTTCCGTCGCCCATTCTCATTTCCGTCATTTTTACCGCCCACTCTCGCGACGACAGATATATTCCAGATATCGACGCATCTGAAAAAGAAATATAGAAACGGCCAATCGGAACGCGCGATAAAAACCTATCGCGGCGAATTTCTCATTTATCACAAAGGGAGGGAGAGGGGAGGGGCACGTCAGTGCCTCGTTTAGTCGGAATCCAGGGTCCGTGAATAAACAGGCACTTTCGGAACACCGTTTGTCTTCCAGTGCTGGGACGGGCGGAGAAAGAAAAAGAGGATCTCAAGGTCGATCTACGTGCCTCTCACACGGAAATGTCCGGCTTGCGGCGGGAAATTGAGGGGGCGAAACAGGAAGAGAAGCGCCTCAGGCAGACGATACAACAGGCGGACGTGGACATCGGACGTCGGAAGAAGAACATCGACCATGTTATGAACGAGCGCGACATACTCGGCACGCAACTGGTCCGCCGGAACGACGAGCTCAGTCTCCAGTACAGCAGAATAAAGGTTCGCTCTCGCGTGCAAATTTACTCGTGGAAAATTTACCCGTAATTCAACAAGTAACGCGCGCTGGAATTCAGCGTTTGATTAATTGGAACAACCGTGCACCGAATGACTCTGAAACTTCGTGTTTGCGTATGACGGACAAAACAAAAAAAAAAAAGAATTACAATATGGCCACGATCGGGGTTGCCGGCGGCGGGGGGGAAAAAAAAAAAGATTGAGCTATGCGAACGCGAAACTTTTTACCGCATTCTGGAAAAAAGCTTTTATTCTCTACTCCGCTTCGGTCCGGAAAGTACATTCATTCCCGCCCTTAAAAAGGAGGATTCCGCGAATCCTTTCTCGTGCATGTCTGCACGCGTGTGTATCCGTGTGCCGCAGATGCTGAATAGAACGCTGCAGCGTGGCGAGGCGCAGTACAATGAGAGATTGGAAGATATTAGATTGCTCAAGTTCGAAGTGAAGAGGCTCAGGACCGAGAAAGCACTGCTCACGAAGAACACCGCCAACGTTAGCGACTTGCGCCAGGAAGTTTTCCACCTGAATCGCGATCTCGCCAGGGAGAGGCTTAAAGTCACCGCACTCGAGGAGGAGATTCAAACTCCATTGAATATACATAGGTGGCGAAAGCTCGAGGTGAATCTATTTTCCTTCGACACGATTGATTATTTTAACTCTTTCGCGACCAACTGGACACATATGTCCCATTTATTTTTCCACTTACAATTTTATCTCACCCAGAGTTCAATAGAACAAATACGTCCCACATACTATTTTTTAAAAAAAGGAGATATAATAAAAGTGCTTAATCATTTGACATACATTCCAGTTCTGAAACACAATCCAAGGACGAAGGATAGGAAATTCAGTCACAAAACAGTTAACATGAAGAAATTTCAATTCTTTTACGCTATGGACATTTTAGTTCCGAATAAGCGATTTTCATTTCTTAAATGTCTAATAATTTCATTGTAAACATGCTTTTTTCTCCATAATAGGGAACAGATCCTACCACCTTTGAGCTCGTTAAAAAAGTGCAAATTCTGCAGAAGCGCATTTTAAAAATGTCCTCCGACATGATCAACAAAGAGAAGAAGATAAAGAACACCGAAAAACTGTATATGAACCTTCGCGATGTTCTGTCGAAGCAACGGGATCCGCAAGCTGTGACGAGCTTGGACAAGGTCCAAAGTGCCTTGCGCAAAAGAGGGGAGAAGCTTAAAGTAAGAAATAGGACTTGTAGCTTAAACGCGTTCGAAGAAAATGTTTTGCTTCTCGACTCCGTCTTGTTAATATTTGCTTCAAGCCATTTACTTTTATTCCATTTTTTACCTCACTTTATCTTTGTCATTTTTACTTTATTTCAAAGTAAAAAAAAAAATATTAACGTTTTAAATTTGCAGTAATACGTGAACATATTACAAGACTAATAAAATTCTTACTCTTATATTCATTACTGTTACTATGTAAAGCAATTAGCGCACAATGAGGTTTTTAAGAGCTTTGTGACGAACACGCAAACGTTCCTTCTCCGCGCAGTGTCTCGTCGCTGAGCTGAATATGTACGAGGCGCAGGTAGGAGAGTACAAAGGCGATATGGCGCGAATGAGCAGCGAGATGTGCGACTTGAAAAAGAAGTACTACGCGCAAAAGAAGAAGCTGCAGAGAATGAAGGAGGCGACTCCGAAATCCACCCACTCTTCTATTCTCCCGGGCATCCTGGAATCTAGCAGCACAAAATTCTGCGGGGGTGGCTTCAAGATGACGACACCCACGCCGCGAAGTTGTTGCATTCTGGATTCTTCGGAGAGCAGATAAAATCAGATTGATAACGGATGAGCGAAGAATATTGCTATCAGACGTGGATGTTTTTATCATTTTTTTTTTTTGCGGAGCGTTCTTAAATTATTATTACGCTCATCTGACGCGAAAAACGATGTACAAGAGCGGAAATCAATTTTATATTTTATATCAATTATATTTTACATTTTTCCTTTGCATAGCATCGCAATTTGATGCTGCAAATAAATACCAAAAATACTGGTATTTAAATACGATACTGCCAATAAAAGCCCGAAAAACGAAAACCGATACAACACTGCGGTGTTTTGCTAAGTACAAGTAACAAAATATTCGAACGATTTTAAAACAATTTCGGAACAAAAGGTTTAACGCGAAATCAGTCCATCGAACTCTGACCGAGTAAATTATCAAAAAAATTTCCTTTGCCCGCTCGAACTTCCATCGACCGCCTTCGGAAATGTAATACGGGGCCACTTATTGTCTTGAATGACGAATAACGACGTTGAAAACGTGCCGGTATCTACTTCGAGTAAATTCTTCAATCACGAAGAATCTCGTAAACGCTTGATACGCGAATCCCGCGATTTATGGCGCAAAAATTTTTCACGAATTCAAGATGCGCTACATATCACAGCCCTTTTTTTTTACTCGAATTATGCGGCCGTTACGTGCCCGGAATTCGCGGGTTGATATAATTCCTCTGGATATTCGCGCCAAGCCAAGCGGAGAGACTGCGAATTACCGAGACCGCGAGGAGTTTTCGACGAGACCGTTTTTAAGAGTACCCGGGAGATTCGGCCGGGAGCTTCATTCCGGGGAGTAAGTAATGTCTCAGCCGCGAGATGAACTCGGTAATCTTCCGCCGAACTCGTAAATCCGGATCACTGACCACCTGTGTCCGACAAAAGCACGATATTACTTTCACCTACACAACGATATTCGAAACAGTCGAGGCGCGACTGCAAATCGCCTTGTATTTGTAGCGTCGGAGCCAAGAACACGAGAGAATTCCCGATTGAAGAGAATAAATATGAGAAATCGGTTCAACGACCATTCAGGGAATTAAAAGCGATTAATATCTACGAGATATACGAGGGTGGATGAAAAAGTTTCCGGAAAGTCTTCATATTTTAAATCGCAACTAAAAGATAAGTTAACAGGAAGACCATTAAGAGCCAAAGCGCGGTAATCGGTGAACGGCATAAATTATATTTCAAATAAACATGAAATTTAAATATTAATCTGCGGTTTAAATTTGATGTGAAATATAATTTATGCTATGCACTAATTACCGCGCTTTGGCTCTTAATAACTTTCGCTTTAATTTATTGACCGTATATTAAAGAATCTGTATTATTTCTATTTGTACAATTAAATTTTTAAATAATGACTGTCCGAAAGCTTTTGACCCACTTTCATATTCATTTTGGAAAAAATATTCAAAGCAATAAAAATTTTATGACGTTTTCTTTTCAAAGTAATATTTTTCTGGAGAGAATTAACACCGCTCGTCGAGTTGTGGCCTACATAAACTAAGCGGAAAACAACACAATCATCCGAATCGGGAAGTACGTTATTACTCGTTCAACCGTTAATTGGCTCATACATATGCATACATGCCTTCATCGAGCATCCAGCCGTAACTCGAGCAACCAACGAATTCCTACGTGCTATATAGAGACATTGTATCGGTAATACGTTTATTATAGGCTGACCATAGAGCCGGAAGAGTGCGTTCATTGGCTTCGGATAAATCGATATTAGTCCGCAAATAATTTGCGCATTCAATAAGTAAACAGGCATTAATTGTACTTTACGTATCGATTCTTTGTTTCTGATTGTACCGTACGTTTATGCTTTTTCCGGTAACGTGTTTGCCACAGATTAAAGATTATAAAATAATACGATCCCGGAGCGCACAATGCGTATTGTTGCGAGATTGCGTATCATAGATTCCGATTCGAGTATTTAGCGTGTTCGAGCTCAACCGCTGACCGTTTCGCGCGAAATTCCACGTTATTGAAAGAGTCGCCGCCGCCGATTTTCTCTCGCGGTGCGATACTACTGGTGCTGGCTTTTCCAGTATTTCCGGACAGGTATACGCACGTATGTCCGAACGATTTGGGAAAACAACATGTTCGCGGCCGAACGCCACGCGGCGCGAGGTTGGCAATTGGGGTCGTTTGCCGGCGAATTCCGGAATTCGGAAATTTCGCGGCCCACGATTTGTTATCGTCCGCTCGGAAATTCGCCCAGCGTTCAGCAAAATGTTCCCCCTGTATATGCGCGCGGTGCGGTATGGTTTAACCCATTACTATTCCGAGTTTGCCACAACCGAGCAAAATCTCGGTTCACTCGCCGGTTATTTGGCAGATTTGCAAATCGATCGCGACTCCGTAATTCTTTTTCCGATAAACAATTCATTGATTTTAATGAATTTTGATCAATTTCTTTTTCTCTCTTGAAATATACATTTCAAAAATTATATATTTGATAACGCAAAAGATTGGATAGTGCTTAATAGATTTATAATAATAAACGTTAATATATAATAACAATATAAGATCGTAACATAGTAAAATAAAATAAATTAAGACTCTGGTAGCGCTTGATTATATTGTCTTTTCAAAGAGCGGATAAAGTGGCTATCTTATAAGGCACCCCCTTTAATTTAGTACATGTTCCGGATGATAATACTTTGATGAAGAAAGTTCATTTTATTTCGCTGATTAATTAAGTCGCCGTCTATCTCGCGGTCTACTCCGCCTCGACTCGCCGAAAACTTATATCCTCTCTCAAAATTCAATTCATGGAGTAAAGCGTTGCCGGCGGAAACGCGTCAAAGGGTCGGTGCGGGCGTCAGTTTGCGAGAGTCGCTCGAATAATCTCCCTAAGACGCAAATAATTTTCCGATCCAAATTGCAGATTATAACGCGTCCGTAAATTTTGTAAGTCAGAAAGTCGAAAGGTAAACTACAAACCCTCGACGCGTCCCCAATTAAAAGCTTCAACGTCTTACGGAAAGCGGGCGAGCGAGCGAGCGCATGCGCGGTTACAATTCTCATCTTATTTTCCCGCCGCCACGTCGATATACTATCCTTTTAACGCGAACTATTCAAATGCCGGAAGGATATTCCCGGAAGGATATTCCCGGAAGGATTAAAATAATTCACAGACTCGAAAATTCGTGCTGCAAAGGCCGTTGGCGATTCTACAGGGACTTCCGTGTTCGCGTTCCTAACATTCTGTACTCTAAAATGCCTTAAAGCGGAATTACACAGTACAAAGTGGAACACGTAAATGTAATAAGAGTTGGATTCACACAGGATATTCCGTTACCGCGGAAAAATTAGAACAGATTTTCCAAAATTCAATATTTTCTCCTCGATAAATGCTTCCATAATTCTCCAACGAGCGTATCGCGTAAACATTTTAATAAGTAATAGGAGTGTTAATAATTCTCATTTGCATATTTTTAACCCACCATTCCCTAATTAATATTACAAGAGAGCACTTTCTCCTTCTTCCAATAAATAGAAATTGAAACGAACAGTATAATGAATTTTTATTGCGCACCGCGTACAGTGGAAATTAGATTACTTCGAATATATATCGTCTAGCAAAAAGGAAACTTGGAAAAAACTCCGGCTTAACGCTCCGCTATCCTTGATTGAAAATTTAACCTTTAATATGCGCGACCGGCGTACACAGCTATAAATCATAAGTGTCCCCGTTCTTTTTTTTGCGCTCCAAGATTTTCTCCATTACGTGTATCGTGGATAAAAAAATTTTTTCGCATAATTCTAATATGACACGACCTGCGGTACCAGCCGGCTGAAATATGTGATGCATATTCACGAGCGACGTCGCTCGAGCGTTATCTCCGCGCTCGTCACCAATTATAAAAGTTCATACGTTACTTAGAAACGTTTCATCCCTCCTGAGGCGGGCAGGGTAAAAGCTCGCTATATTCCTCGGGTTTATAAATTTAAGCCGCAAAATCATCCACCTCAACTTATTAACGGAGATAGACGCTTTCTCAGGATATTAATGTTCCATGGAGACCCCGGCTTCGCCACGATTCTCCGAGATTCGCTAAACTCGTGACGACGCGACGTTTTTCAGCTGCTCATAAGTCGCTAATTTCACCGCTCGTGCCGAGCGCCCGCCGCGTTTTCCGATCGGATTTAGTCCGGACTAATCTGATATGCCGCTTCAACCTCGATCAATTTTGCGTTAACTATTTAACAGACGTCCGGCGAGGAATTACGATCGGGCCGAGCGCAGCGATTTTCGATTATGCGCGCAGCGAGCTTACATTTAAGTGCAAGCTCTGATTAACAAGTAAATTCACCAACATTGCGAACGCGCTGCGTATAGAGTGCAATTAATATAGCGGTTATTATTTATATAAATTAATACGTTTCTCCCATTATATGAAATAATTGTATTCGTATAATTTATTTACATAAATTAATTAATGACATCAATTAAACCGCATTATAAACTGTCCTATTTTAGCTTTAATATTTTTCAATAGTAAATATTATCTATTATCTAAATTTCATGAAACTAATTTATCGGCTTTTATGTTATCACTATCCGTTATTTATCAACTATCATTTAGACGTAAATGCAAATTGCGCCGCATCCTTGCAGCAATAACTGCGACGTTAAATACGCATGCAATCGATCGAGCTCTAATTTAGTCCGCTAAAAATGAGGCGTACAACATTTCGCCAATAACCGCATGCTTGGAATACGTCCGTGTAAAATATCCGCGTGTTGAGTCATTGCAACTATTTAATCGGAAGATCGATAAAGTATGCTGGAAAAAAAGTTCAATCTCGATTTATATCAGCAAAACTGACATATTTTACTCGCGTCACGCAGCAACAAGAAAAACACAAAAAAAAAAACTCAACCATCTTGGAGCTGAAAGATTTCCAGGTTATTTAAAACTCTAATCTTATCAGATTATATTCTTTGAATTCTTACGCGAAGCTTGAAAAATC